CAATTTATTCTACAATTCTATAATCTGCAAATCAGGATAGTCTACGTGTATCAGTGATTAAGAAAATAAAATGGAGAACAAAGTAAGTACAGAGCAGTGGGTGTGAACCAGTGGCGGAGAAAATGGGGATATATCAGACCAATGACGTCTTGCATACATGAAAATAAAGATTACTCAGACATTCATAAATCACTCCAAGTACAACTTTGAGTGAGTAAATGAGAAGGGGAAACAATGATAACATGGTTGAAAGCTTGAATGTAACTACTTATGCAAAATTAACTTTTTTGGTAAACAAAAAGATACCTTGAGTTTTGCTGTGTCACTCTCCACCTCCCCATGTCTAAGCACCAGTCTCTTTCTCATTTGGAGCAAGCCAACATTTGTCTTGGGCCCGTTTGCTCTGCCTCCCTGACAGAGTTATTGATTGTGTGTTAGTGCTGATAATGTCTTTGCCACTGTGCTGTGTACCCCCCACACAGAGAGGGGCAGTCTGCAGCCAAAACAAACTGGCCCAGGCTGTGATGAAGCTCCTAGAGGTGACAGCAGCGTTGGAGGGTCGTCATTGGACACCCCTCATCCATCTTGTGTATGTGGGACCATTGCTCACCTGGGACCAGCCTGACACGAGCCAAAGAGATGAGCTGATAAGTACAGCCGCCAGCGATTATACAGACCTGCAACATAAGGGCCCATACTCCTACTACTGCAGCAGAGGGGCGTGGCAGGGATAGGGCAGGATAGGGACTGGGGTGGTCACTGCGTGGGCAGTCACATTTTGAATTGTAAGATTGTTATTGCGGCTTTTGTAGCAACCATCATGGACTGTTATAGTAATGTTTGTTCTGCAAAATCCCTACTGCAAACATTTAAATATCATATGTCTCAAAATGTGTTATTAATAATAATGCAATGGTTTTATATTGTGTTTTTCAAGACGCCCATAAGAGCATTACATTACTTTTTCATTATGTCCAGTCCACACTCAGTAGTGATAAATTAGATTAAATTAGATAGAGACCACACACCACACCACACTATAGCCACAGCTGCCCTGGGGTAGACTGATGGAAGCCAATCTGAGTCATCGGCTCCTTCAACCACTACCAACATTCCTGCACACAGTAGAGCTAGAGCAGGCACTAGTTTCCCCATCCGAGTACTAACCAGGACCAGCCTTAGCTTCCGAGGTGTGATGAGATCATTGACAGGCAAATGTGGTCTTATGTAAATATTGGATAATGGACCTTAGAGGACTTAAGGGTCATAGTTTTTTACCCTTGTTTATGCCTTTAAACTACTGTAGTATTTTATATTTTGAAGGTGCATGCAATGTGTAACTTTTCTAGTGCACAACCATCTGCATGTGTTGTCACTGTCATGTTTTGAATGTTTCACAGAATGACATTGAACTTATATATGTCCATTGACCGTGGAGATAAGCAGATGTTGCCACCAGACCAAGTTACCTGTCAGATATGTTGCTTGCAGCAGTTGCATATCACTTTAAGTATGGCTCAAAATAATATAAGGACATGCTTTGTAGTAAAGTCACTTGGTGTTGGTGCTGAAAAGATCAGAGCAAACAGTGACCAGTAGAGTTACCAATAGAGGAAATTTCATTTTTTCAACACTCGATAAGAGGTTTGGGGACTCTGATAACTGTTTTAAGTGTTTGCCGTTGCTGTGAAGTGTAATTTTGCCCTTTCTCCTTGACATCTCTCTTTCTCGACATAACTGTAACCTTTTCATAATCCCTCCTCTCACACAGAAACGTTCCTGAAATGATGCGTGTGCCCTTTACCGTTCAGGGACGTCCTGCACTTGCACAGACAAGCATTTAACGTCTTTTTATTCTTCCCACGAGGCTGCGCTGGCAAAGCTGTGATATTACTCCATACATCAGCTCAGTGAGTTAAATGTGCAGTAAGATGGAGTAGCTGGCTGCAGCAGAGAGAGTATTAAAGTAGTGCATGTTGACATATGGACACCATGTAAATCAGGATCTGAAATGACGAGAGCACATGTAAACAGCTTTGATAGAGAAACATACATAGACTGTGTTTATTATATGATCCTAACACAGAGATTAGCAGTTAGCAGGCCCTCATTTGCATGTATTTTATTGGCCATTTAACGCACCATTTGATTTCCTTACAATTTGCCCGCTCATGCAGTTGATATGATGGTGAATAATTATTATTCATTCAAATAAAAGCTATTAAGAGCAAAAAAGCTGATGCTATGTTAAAAACTGTGTTGGTTGGCATGGTTCTCAGATTGTTGTGGTCTATAATGGCACAGATTTTGCCTAGTCTGCTTAAAAATGTACACTAACAGTAAAGACATATCTGACATTACCCAGTATTTCATATGCAATTCACACAAGAGTCAATGGAGAGATGATAAAAATGCAATAATTGTCTTAAAGGGGACATATTATGAAAGATAGACTTTTATCAGCTTTTAATCATGTTATAATCATGTTCCCTTATAATAGATTTACTTAAGCTGGTTTGATTAATCCAGTATTGTCCTACAGTTGACATTTAAGTGCTCAGAATATTCCAGTTTTAACACACCCCACATCTCTGCCCACTACTCTGTACTTGTGATTATTCAAAAATAATTTTACTGTGAAATACCCTTATGAAGACTTTTCACTTGAAAAACTGAAAAAAAGAGAAAAAATGTATGCAATTATTAAGCTTTTTGGATGAATATTATAGTTCGCAGTTCAAAATATTAAATTATGACCTATGTATGTTATAGGTTAATACTAAATCATTAAAAAAAAAATAATACTGTCTTATCTTTATGAAGAACACAATTCAAGATTAATACATTTTAAGTGTGCTGTATTGAACTAAATGTAAAAAGATTGATTAAGATACACAATGACTAAGGGTCTGGGAGACTCAATGTTGTGAGACTGATTCTCAGTCTTTAAAAATGTACCGAATGTCTCTTGTTGTACTTCACCCCTATTTCAAAGCGCTTTCTGTTTTTGTTCAGTAAATCTTAAAGGCAAGTAGTCTAGCGTATACTCAAATAAAATCACAGCTTATTTACTATAGATAACTTATGTGCAAATGAAAACCCCACACCACTGATTTGGTTAATAAATGTCTTTATTTGGCTTTGAGACTCAGACTGCGTGACAGAGCAGCACATACAGATCACAGTAGTTTTAGCAGGAATGGTTCGGTTTAGTGTCAGCTCCCCTCATCTACCTCCCCTTTTCTAAAACAACAGACTAAAATGTTGTGTTGTGGTCTTTTTCTGCAGCAAATGGTTAAGGCAAGATTTATAATTCACACAACAAGCAAAAATCTATTCCATCCAAGAATCAGGCCATGCATTCAACGCCCATCAGCCGGTTCATTTGCCACTGTGGGGGGCGGAGTGACAGGGTGAGTGCGATTAGCCCTTAGTTGTGACTCTATCTGTTATATTTAGCCGTGAACTTGGCGCAATTGACCCACCTGACACAAACATATGGGCCCATGTCAGTGTCACCACCAGATGCAGTGGCACTTATGACCATGTTTTCCTTCACCTCCAGGAAAATGAGCAACCTTGACTCCTTACAACACTGTATACATCCTCTGTGATGCCACATATTGCCTGCACATTTTGACACCAGCCATAACTATCTTGTTAAAGCGTATTTTTGTATATGGATTCAGTATACGCAAATGTTTCAAGCATTTCCCACTTAATAGGATGAGGAATTTTGCATTTTAACTGTAAATCTTCACAATTTAAAGAAAAAATACTTGAAAATTTTCACTTTGTATGAATGTATATAGATAATATATAATAAAATAAGCCTGTGTTCTCTATATATGACTTAAATACTGAGCCAGGTCGCTTAATTTCCCTACCTAAACACATACACAGCTGTAGAATTTGTTTCCCTATATTATTTACCTGTAAGTCTATGAGACACTGCTAATGGCAAGGATTAGTGACAAATGAACCAACCAAAGGGAGGGATAATAATTCATTTTCCCAAAACATATATTATATTCTGCAGCAGCGATTTCTATTTAAACTCTTTATATTTTATCATTCCCAGAGATGCACCACCCACAGTTTCCATCGAATGAAAACTCAGCCCTCCCCGTTACAATATATTTCCCCATCAGTATATACATGAATCAGTCAACATTATTGCCGTGCCGTGACGCTACAGTGACAAAATGAAAAGTGCTCAAAATGGCAGCGTACATTACTCTTGTGTCGTGGTGGGACTGAAGCATTTATGAGTGAAACTTGTGTAACCCATAGACCTCCTTAGAATTTGACACTGTCAGGAATGAGCTGGTAGTAGTTACTTTCATTGAATGTAAAAATCAAAATAGCACCGTTAAAGTTGGCTGTGTCTCTTTTGATTAGAAGTGTGCGTTTTTGTATAGTCATGTGCTGAATATTGTTGCTTTCGATGGTTGATTGTACTGTTCATGCTCGATTTCAGTGCAAGTGTCTGGGGGGAAAGCGTGATAAAATTATCAAATTCGAGATACATTAACTGTTTCATAAAGAGAAAGTGTTGATTTTTTAAACAAGATTATGGGATTCCAGTCGTCCTCTGAAGTTGAATTTGTCAGAATTATTTAAGTAGCTGTTTTCTTGATGTCTCCCACTTCAAATCAGACTTAGCAGCCATACTCTTATTTCAGAGGACGACTGGAAACATTGTTGGTAGGATGTGAAACCTAAACGAGATTTGCAGAAAATGCAGAAGGTATGAAATCTTGATCCAAAAAGTCAAAAGTCAACTAGTAGGCTATGTCCAAAAAACTGGTCTAACACTTCAATAACTGCCTCTATAACTTTAATATTTCTAGATTTAGATGGGAAATGCATGTCAGTGTGTGGACAGTGAATTGGTGCATGGTATGAGCTGTAGGCTGCAGTCGTGTGGATAATATCGAATGGGACAAGATAGCGTATAGGTCTGAAGAAATCTAAGTTCACTATATGTTATGTAGCATCAATACTCTGATGGTGAATAGTTTGGAATAGTTACTATGCAAAGAATGAAGCATGTGTAGACTACATCTCTTTAGCAACTACAAATGGTACAGTAACGTTTTTGCTTTAATATATAAATTATGTTAAAGCAATGTGTTCTCAATCCTCTAAGTTTAGTCATTTATTAATATTGCTCCCACATTTTAGGATTTAAATGTCATGATATCTGAAATGTATCAATCAAGCAACTCCACCTAGACATGGATATGACTGTTTAAAGCAACACTATGTAACATCTTGTAATCTAATGCATAATAACATGATTTAATTAGAAAGATAATAGGAATAGTGCAATATTATCCTAAGTTTTGTACCACTCAAGCCACAATATGATTCTTTAGGCATGAGCTGAATAACTGGTGGTAATGATCCGATATGTTTTCAAAAGGCTCTAACACAGCGCCCATTGTTATGAAGTTCAAAAATATAAGTGTTGCAAAATGTTACATAATGTAGCTTTAAATCTACTATGACTTGTGTAGTATTTTTGTATGTTTTATGCGTTTATCTATTTCTATTTTGTCCCATTCATATGCCCACATGAACATAGCTTACAAGTATGTGACTGGTGTCATGTATTCAGTTTTTGCTGGTCTTGGAGCTAGAGCTATCCTTCTCTTTCTTCTTATCCTTCTCCTTGTCTTGCTTGTCATCCTTATCTTTACCTTTCTTATCATGCTTCTGCTCCTCTTCCTCCTCCTGGTCATCGTCACCCTCTCCCTCATCACCTCCCTCCTCGTCTCCACCCTCCTCATCTCCCGCCTCCTCGTCTCCTCCCTCCTCATCTCCTCCCTCTTCCTCATCTCCCTCCTCCTTCTCCTCGTCATCCTCTCCCTCGTCCCCGTCCTCCTCGGGTTTGGACCTCCTGTAGGCTCCCAGGGTGTAGCTGCGAGGGGACATGTACGAGAAGCCCTGGTATCCCGACTGCACTACGGATCCACCGACGGAACTGAGACGGCATTCTTCTCCTTCCAGCAGCTTCCTGTTGGGGGCAGACAAAAGGGACAGGGAGCGGTCAGCCTTCTGGTCATCTTACGGCACGGGGCATCATAAAAGAGCTGGTGTTTTATGGTATCCAAAGATGAAGGTGAATTAGAGAATGCATTGATTGTCACTGTGGACTGGGCCAGGTCTTTGAATCATTATGATCAAATGAAAAGCAAATGACGCAAAATGTGAAATCTCTGCAACACCCTGTGAGCAACTACAGGCCTTCAAACAGGGACCTAGATGGATTATCATATAGATGTGGTTCAATTTGAAAGAAAATTGTTTATTTATTTATTTATATTTATGTATTTATTCTTTATTTGAATAGGGATAAATATAACGAACGAGGTATCGTGGTGTTTATAGTCAAGGATTATTTGCAACACTACAAGGGCTTTTAATCTGTTCACTAAAAAGCAGTGGAATTATTGGTCGAAAAAGCAATAAATACAGTCAATATGTAAGAAAATAATATAAGTATAAGTAAGTATACTAAAAGTATTTTAAGGTGCACTATGTTATTTTTCTTTTGGAACGTCCGCCACCTGCTTGTCTCATATAAATGTTATTGCTTAGCCCTTCAGAATGCCCTCAGTTGTATGACATTTTTCAATTGCATGTGTTTCATTGCTACAAAAAACCCTTGCATCCTAACAGTAAGCAGGGTCGCCTCTCCATAGATCTGACTTGCTTTCCTACCCTCCATCAGAAAAGTTGCATGATGCAGTTTTGAATGTGTGTTTTGTCTCATGTTTGCTGTTTTTTCAGTGTAAACTCACCTGTAGGCAGCGATCTCGATGTCCAGAGCCATCTTGACATTGAGCAGGTCCTGGTACTCGCGCAGGTGGTGGGACATCTCTCCTTTAGTGGTGCGCAGGGCTGCCTCCAGCTGCTGGATGGTGTCCTGCAAAAAACAGTAACAGCAGGTAAGGAATCTGAAGAAGAGTTTTGAGCCTAATACAGCACTAGTTTTGACATTTGTAATAACTTTGACAAGACAAGTCGCTTTTAGGTTCTTGATTCAACTTTATATTGTTCTAACTTACAGCATAACTTGCATATTAGGACTCATGAAAATGAATGCCAGGTCCTGCATTCATTTTGTTGCATTGTGAAACCTATTGTAGACCTAAAATCTGTAATTTCTTGACCCTACATAATCTCTCTCTTTCCCTCACCTGCAGCTCGCCGATCTCCTGGTTGTGGCGGTCCTCCATCTCGGCGATCTGCCTCTCCAGCGCCTCATTGTGGCCCCTCAGAGCCTCAATCTCCAGGGTGCGTGCCTGAACCTGTCGGCGGTACTCAGTCAGCTCCTCTTTGGAGTGTTTGATGGCGTCCTGGTTACGGGCCGCCGCCTCCGATACTGTGGCGATCTTGGAACGGTACCAGTCCTCGGCCTGAGCTTGGTTTCGGGCGGAGAGGTTCTCGTACTGAGAGCGGATGTCCTTCAGAGCAGCTGCCAGGTCCGGTTTGGCCATGTCCATCTCCACAGACACCTGCGACAAATAGAGCTGGATGAGGTATGAGGTATGGTACATGAAAAACCTGAAATAGGGTATTGGATGGCAAGATGGCATAGTTGTTAGGAGGACAGTAGACAGGCGAGGACAAATGGGTCTGTTGTCTTGGGGGCCCTAGGGTTTTAGGGGCCCAGATTTGGAATCTCCACCTATTAATTTACAGTTTCTGGATTTCTATAAATGGGCCTGGTGTTAAGCACTCTCAATTCACTGCAAGAAGGTTCCAAGTATAACTCCTGAACAAGGTGAAGCCTCCTTTGCGGTGTTTGCATTTTCTCTATGACCCTGCATTTGTTTCCACCCATATCACTAAAACCAAGCGCTATACGGGATCGGAACTGAGCTGCTACATGAGGCCATCGAGGTTAAAACATTTGCATGAATCAACCCATACTGTCATTGTGTCCTTAAGCAATACACTTAAACTTTGGATTAACAGACACAAATTCATCAGTCTGACCCTGGGCCCAGTGGTGTAGTCACAGTCCATATACTGTATAGTCGTTACAGTTAAGTGGTACACAATAGATGAATTGTGTCCACAAGTATCAGATTGACATTGCTTTATAAATCATAAAACACCTTATTAAAAGTTTGAAATTCTTTTGACCTATTGACTTTATTGATCATTTTATATTACTTTCAATGAAAGACGTGCCTATATCTGCTGACCACAAAATTCCATCAGACATTACGCTTCATAACCTAGGGCTGAATCTGCTACTTCTAACATGTGGAGTGCAGCCCATAAACTTGAGTAAACCAATACTCTGGACAACTGAGAGGAACCATCTATTCCCCATTGCGTGCTCGTCCCCTCCCCTTCTCTTCGATCTTCGTGCCGTTGCTGTATGCATTTATGTATAAGGTGTGGTGTGTCCAGTGAGGTGATACACAGCACTGATGAAGAAGCTGCTGAATCAGGCCTTCTGGTGCTGTGCTGTCAATAGCTTACAAGGCAATACCATTCCCCGTAGACACACAGCAAGAGGACGCCCGGGAGGAATCTACCCAGCAACCAGTGCTTTAGCAATCACTTCTCACTGCAGCTAATTGATTTGATGTCCATTGCAGTTGCAGTTTTGTTGTAAAAGGAGACATTCATTAGAAAATTAATATTGACATTACAATAGACTAAATAGGGTGATTTTTTTTGTTTTTTTTGTTTTGGTTTAGCTAGAAGGGGGGAATACAGCATACAGAGTTATAATGCCTAATGTTTTGGTTATATTTCAAATTAATAAATGTATATTCTAATTCCATGTCTAAAAAGTTACACTTAAGAAAAAGTCATAACAGAGAATTGTTGGTACAGGCAGGTTCAGTGGCTTGGGAATACCACATCACCTCATCAATTTTGTTTAAGTTTAATATAACTTTTCCATGAAGAATAGCCTTTGTTATTCTTCTGCTCTCCAATCCTTAATAATGACCAACAAATATGTTTCCTGTTACATAATAACTATTCATGTTCTAATACCACTCAAAGTAGTAGTTTTCTGTAGGACATCAGTACTTATGTTCAAAGATAAACAAAAGTTATGACTCAAATCTGTCATAATGTCTAGTCTCTGTGTTTGGGAGGTACTGGAGCATAAATGCATCTTTACCTTCGTGCAGTTCGTTTGCATGAGTTAGTGTGATCTGCATAGACTAAGTCGACCACGCCCCTAATGCGCACCCCATATTCTCCCTCCGTACCCCGACAACGAGCCAAACGATCTACATGAATTTTTGCTGCGTCAAAGTTGCTCATTCATTGCAAATTGTTACCACGGCAACAGGCAGACACAGGAACAGGTCTCAGTACTTCATTTGACCGGAGGTGAGATGCTCTGTCGTACTGAGAGCTCACTCAGACAGGAGTAGTCTGCAGGACTGTTCGTGCGCGGGCGTGAGAGCGCGCGGGGTGCTGCAGAGGAGAAGCACGAGGCGCTGCAGTGCCATTAATTATGAGCATTTATCCGTGCAAAGGTGTACCAAACAGAATCCGTGTCTACTTTATTCACTTGTTAGTTATGGTTAAAACGTAGTTAAATCTGCTCATCTTCTATTTGTGCAGCTCTTAGGGCTGTTAAGATAAGTTTAGTTGACTTTCAAAAAGGAGGGGTAAATGACAGGTGCGTGTTTGTGCACGTGCAGTACCTGCGTGGCCTGCAGTGATGCCTGCAGCTCGTGCAGCTCCTCCTCGTGCACTTTCCTGAGGAAGGCGATCTCGTCCAGCAGAGCCTCAACTTTCTTCTCAAGCTCGAGACGCGCGAGCGTGGCATCATCCACGTCCTTCCGGTAGCCCTTGAGCGCGTTCTCAGCCTCCTCGCGGAGCCGGTTCTCCTCGTCAAGCTTTTCTCGCGAGCGCTCCAGTGCATCATTCATCTGCACGCAGTCCACGTGCATCTGGCTCTTCTCGTGCGTCAGCTCCTCCACACGCGCCCGGAGCTCACGGATCTCCTGCTCATAGAGCTCGTGCAGGCGCGAGGGCTCGTTGTGGCGCTGCCGCAGCAGCGTCACCTCTGCCTCGAGCACGCGGTTGTGCTGCTCAAGGCTGTGCACCTTCTCAATGAACGACACGAAGCGGTCGTTGAGCCCCTGCAGTTGCTCTTTCTCGTTGGTACGGACAATTTTCAGCTCGTTGGTCATCGCCGTGGAGGCGCACAGCTCCAGCGGCTCGTGCATGGCCAGATTCATGCGTGGTGCAGCGCTCCTGCGGATCCCGGAGGAGGACATGGACGGGGAGCTGTACCGGTGATGGACGCTGCGGAGTCCCGAGGAGTGGGCACGGGACGGGCTGGCCATCGACATGCGCCCGGAGCGTGGAGCATCGCCGAAGATCTTCCGGTAGGAGCTGGAGCTGTACACTTCACTGGAGAAACTCATGGTCCTGAACGGGGCAGAGTGCGCGAGGAGCTGAACACGAGAAGAGTGAAGTGACAAAGTCAGATGTGCCTGAGCTCTGCCAGGACAGGTGCCTTTATAGAGCACGCGCCGCGCATCATCTGACGCAGAGCAAACTCCGAGAGTGGAGACAACAGGAGAGAGAGGAGGGAAACCTGCGGATTTGGCAGAAACACCCCCAGTACCACACCCCCGCAACGCGTGAAGGGGGCACGACCCACTCATGCAGAACCTCTGTGTCCAATGAACCCAGCCCGTCTGTCCCGCCTCACGACACGCGATAAGCTTTAGCTATAAGTTCAATAAAGACCAAGCACATCAGTGTGGGTTATACCGACCATCCCTCACCGGGACAGGTCCCAGGGGTGTCACTGCTGCGGCTGCACGCGGCACGAGATCAATGAAAGCAGTGTGCGCGTGCTGCTGCAGTCTGGGGGTCCGGACTCCGCAGGATGTGAATAATGTCATGATGGGACAGTTGAGGGTTGGTTCGTTTAACACCACTCTGCGTTTTCACTCAGTTCACCAACAACCCACACTAAATAAACAGTGGCTCCATCACTCATTCCCTTCACATTATCCAAATGGCCAGATGTTTTGTGGACATCTTGCGGTCCTGGTTCTTACGCAACCACGCCTCTGAAGAAAAAAGTCAAGTGGAGGTCAATTTTGTCTCTTTTAAAAAGCCCAGATTCTCAGATCTTTAAGCGTTCACCTTGTTTATTCATTATTTATTAAATGTATCGTTTATAAGTTTGAATCACTGACTGAATTAAAACACCTCTACACATTCCACATCTCAATGGCTCCATCCTATGTTCCTTTTACGCACGCTGACATTACGCACCACTGGGGGGCACTGAAGCATCATCAGTCACCTGTGCACCTCACTATTTTTATTAGAAAGCTCTCAGACAACATGCACATTTTCTGCATTAACGTCTCCAGCTCCACGTTGTTTTGGTCATGTTCAATCTAGTTAAAAATGTGAACAACCAAATATTTATTGCCGTAAAATTGCTCTGTATTTTTTTTCTGATCTATAATATTGTACTTTGGCTAATTCAGTTACGAGGTCGTTTGATGCTATAAATAACGCAATATTTTCTCAGACACTAGGCTAATATAGGCCTACATCATTAAATAAATAAATAAATAAACAAAAAAATCTGGTGTAAATATGACAAACTCGTAGAATAATTTACTTGTATTGCACCTTCATTACACCGAATGCTTCAGCCTATTCCATGATGTGCATTTTAATAGAAACAAATTATAATTATAACATGCATGGGGCAAAAAATCATCATTTAATTCTTTTGGTTAGAGCCTCTTTTGGTTATATAGCCTACACCATAGACTACTTAAAATGCATGATTCTACAGAGAGTAAAAAGTATTCATAGAAATAAAATTGCTGATGTGTGTGTGAACATTTTGCTCCCCTCTTTCAGCCATTTTGTCTGCAGCAGCAATAAAAAACACAGCAAAGCGTGGCGTGTGACTCAGCAGCTAAAACGTGACAACAAATGTATTTTTTCAGCCAATTTCTCCTGCAACTTGGTAGAACTGTAGCTTCAGAAAGCCTTGACAAGATGGACCTCCTCGATTTATTGGGCATACATTGAGCAGATCTGTTCTAGATTTTTTTTTTGTTAGTGTTGAACTAAGGCTTGGAAAATAGCAGTCACATTGCAAGTCACGTGTCACTTACCTGGACGAGGGACAATTCATGGTCCCATCGTGGTATGAAAGCGCGTAATTCTTGTTTGTAAGAGGAAGTGTCTCCAAACATAAAAAAAAATCCAATCTTGTAAAAATGCTGAAGAAAAAAAACTATATTAACCTCCAAGTTAAAGAGGTAATGCAAAAATAAAATAAAAACTTACCTGTAGCCTATCAAACATGACCAGTAGGGGGTGTCCTTGTTCTTTTAGCCTACACAATTTCTCAGCAATGGACCAAAACCTAAGTAAAACAGCAGTGTGCAAATATAAAGATCTTGAAATAACTTTGAACAACTTTTTAATTATAGCTCTAGTTGCTGTTGATCTCACAGCAAGAATGGGGCGTTTTTGTGAACCTTTTTGTTTGTTTTCATGTGTCTGGGTGGTTCCCTCTGGTGCTCTCTAGGAAAGAAGAAACTGAAACTAAACAAAAAACAAATCAGGAGTAAACACAAGCAGCCACAATTCAAACAACTGCGGTCAGACTTTCTTCTAGAGTCACTTAAAAAGACAAATGCAGTAAGTTTGTGTAGCACTGGTTGATCTCGTGGCTGGAGAATCAGTGCATACATAGGATTGATCATTTTCTTCCTTATTGCTTTAAAATGTTCATACTTCTTAAAATTACTTTATCAGTCCATCAATTGTTTTAGCTTTTCTGTCAGGAAAAAGATAATCTCACAACTAATTCTTCCCATTTTAGATTACTGTGATATCATTTATCAAAATACTACAACTTCTATCCTCCAACCACTCAGTGTTATCTATAATAGTCTGTGCAGATTCATTCTCCGCTGTCCCTTCAGAACTCACCACTGTACGATGTATCACCAACTGTTCTGGCTCACTCTGTCCTCCCCACATCAACTTCAATGCTTATTATTTATCTTTAAATGCATTAATCTCAGTTATCCTGAATATCTCAAACAGTATTTAATTCCATTCAAATCCTTTTACAGTTTACATCACACAGATCTTTTTTTTTTTTTTTGTCCCAAGAGTCAAAAAACAAAAAAAACATTTAAATATATACTCATTTAAATATAAAGCTCACTTTGATTGGAACAAGACCCTCATCGATTTGTGCATTAACTTCTGTCCCTTCATTTAAAAATGCTCTGGTTCAATATTTACAGAACCCGTGTCATTGGTTTTGATCATTTTGTTGAATTTTGTTGTTCATCTTGTTGTATTTTTTTATTATCTTTGAACTCTGTTTTAGTTTTTTGCTCAAATTTGATTTATTATGTGTCAAACAGTCAAGTGTGTGTGAGTGTGTGTGTGGTTGTGTTGGTTTTGTTGTTTTGGTGCTTATTTGAATTTGTATAGCCTACTGTCTGCCCTACTGCATCTGTCTTTTGTTGTTGCAATTATGAGGACCCCCTTGAAAACGAGATGGCGAGACGTCTCAAGGGACTTACCCTCCAAACAAATAAAATGACTATATTAATACTCACAAATAACTAAGACTAAACAAGACTGAAAACATGCAGAACCAAACTCAGACTGATTCAGGATTAAGATCACTCTAAATTGGGATGCAATGCTGGACTAGGGTTGTGAAAAATCTGATACTCATCGATATTAAAACTAATATCGAAACTATAGATCAAGAAGTGAGCATGAAGCTGGCTCCAATTCACTTTGTATTGAAAAAACATCACCCTTCTATCCATAACTGCTTCTGTCAGGCTCCTCATTTTGGTCTTAAAATATTCACAGTAATCCACTCTACATGATAGTGGTGTTTTTGTTTTGCTATTTTGTCAATAAATCATTTCCATTTCTAATACGGAACTGGCTCCAGATTCGACTTCCTTATGAGTCTATGATCAAAATTTAAAAACAAATCATGCTGAGATGAAGAAAGTATTATTAGTTTGTATATTAGGCTTCATTCTGTTACTTAAAAAGGAGCTACATTGTGGTATCATAGTTGAGTGAATACCTTAGTACGGAAGTCAAGTTTGACATTTTTGTATTGTTAGACTAAAACCTAACTAGGATTAAACCATAGATCATACACACTGAATACATATTTGCTCTTGTTTGTTTAGTGGCAGGTGGCAGATGGCAGGAGGATGGTGGTCTCAGGGGAGAGTGCTCATTTCTTCTGATCACTCCATCCGAAGCAGAACAAAAGGAGCTGGAGAGGCCTGGATGTGACACTGAGAGAGAGGCACCACGGCTGGGCTAAGGCTAACGCTAACACCTGGCAAATCAAAGGACCCCAAAGAGAAGAGATGAGATGAGAGTGGAGAGGTGAGCAGATTGTGCAGCAAACACAAGGGAATGCGTGAGTGATGACATGAGAGTACGCAATGACAACAGTTGGATCGTAAGATTAAACAGGACTCGCTGTACTCAGAGTAAATGAATCCAAAATGATCAAATAATCTAGGATAAAACAGGGGTAAAACATATTCCAAAGTATAATAATACAGTAGTTTACATTTGTTTTTAGCTTTAGAATTTTAAGCACTCAATCCATAGATTTTGCTGTAATAAGATCAGGGTGAATATAATTGTGAATAAAAAAGTGTGTAATTAAGACATTTTCATCTCATTTGGGTATCAGTAAAACTCAGTCATTGCAACTGAGTGAACTTTTTCGCCTTCTGGCAATTTCCAATCACAGTATTCAAACAAAAACATTTGGTAAATGGTCACATTTTTATATAGCGCTTTTTTTTTTTTTTTTTTTTCTATAGCGCTATTCCACCTTCAAGGCACTCAAAGCGCTTTACAACAAGGAACCAATCACACATTCACACACACACACACAGTACACAGACACTGGGGGCAAGGTGGGTTAAGTGTATTGCCCAAGGACACAACGATAGTATTTATCTGTGGAAGCTGGAATCACACCTGCCAACCTGTGGGTCACTGGATCTGACCGCTCAGCCCATGATGTTTACATCAAATTCGCCAACCTTTGGATCAGTTGACAAATGCTCTTAGGCTATGTTCAGACTGCAGCCTGAAGTGACCCAAATCAGTTTTTTTCACCTCTATGCGACCTGTATCTGAGCTTTAAATGACCGTCTGAACGACACAGATCTGATTTTTTCAAATGCAACCCCATCACTTGGATATGTGCTCCTAAAACTGATACATATCCGATCTTTTGACATGTGACTTCAGTCTGAACGGCCACGTCGCATTCATCTCACCTACATGTCAGGCTCGGAGTCTAGTCAATGGAAGGAAAGTGAGGTTAGTAAGTTTATTAATATTTGGGGGGATCTCTGTATTCAGGACAAATTGGAGGGGTCTTATCGAAAACTGGGCGGTTTCTGAAATGATTGCCAAAGAAATGACCGAGGGCGGTTACAGGCTGTCCTGGCTCCAATGTCAACAAAAAATAAAGAACGTGCGAAGCAAATACAAGGAGGCCAAAGTAACAAACAAACGAAGTGGCTGATCTGACCTCTCAACCCATGATGTTTATGTTGGGAGCAGGATTCGAACCACGAACCTTCAGATTAGTGGACGAACACTCTAACAACTGAGCGACTGTCGTAAAATGTTACCCTTTTTAGTGTTGGTGGGTGTCAGATTGGTCAAAAATAGGGACATTTCTTGTATAAAAATGGGACAAATTAATGGGTTTGGATACATTTGCTGGGATAGGAGACTCAGTGCTCAAAAGTGGGACTGCACCGAGTAAATAGGAACATATGGTCACACTAAATAAGACACACCTGTAGCCACACTCGCCTGGGGCTCATTTACAGAAGCGTGACCAGCAATCCACACCATAGGCGACCGACAACCAGTCACTCAGAATCAGATTTACATACCCAAATACGTCCAACACATGGGCAAGGTCTGGGTGAAGTTTCTTGTCAAGGACTGTATGTGTTTGTCAGTGCTGGAATTGAACCGGCAACTGTCAAGTATGAGTCACAGCCGCTCCCAAAGATGATGTGTGTAACCAAAGAACTGCATGAAGGATTATGTGAAACCATGAGCTATAGAGAAAACATCTGTAACACTGCCAATCAAATTCAAAATCAGTTGTGTAGTTATCCAGATCAAAAGTTGACATCATGGTGTTTGGGTTTCTTCATCTACAGTACATCATATGAACTTTGAATTAAGGTGTTTGCATGTTTCATACTATACTTCGCCTATAGCTCAAGATAGTGAGGCAGAACATGCTCTTTACAGCCCAGTGTTGGTGTCATTTTATTTCTAAACATGTCGACTGCCCAGATGGCTGTCCTGATCAACCTGTTCAACTGACGTACACTTGGACCTTCATGTAGGCACTCCCTTCCCCCTTCTGCTCCAAAAAGATGCAGGATGCGTTCAAGACCCCCATCCCCCTTTGCTAGCTGCCTGTGTACTGGTTGTGGAGCTATAGTCAGATGGCCATTTGATCATATAAAACCAGGATTAGTCTGTAAAATACTGGCCAGGACTGAGCCCCCGCTGTGGCTTTCCTTTATTTGATGTGTAGAAAGCAGCCTATTACTGTCTCTCCCGGAGCTGTTTTAAATATAACTCTTTTGTATTGGAAACCAGTGGGTTGAATTTCAAGCTTAAAGCCATCATTTGTTCTTTGCAAATGTAATTAGAATGCAAAATCAGCAGCACACAAATGACACAGGGCTATGGTCTGGTAAACAAGGGTTTCAAATGTTTATTTCTGTAATATGACTGGCAAGTATATAAACTGCATTCTTCCTTGCATTCCACAAGTTGTTTCCAGGGGTTTTTTTCTTTCACCCCGTGACATTTTTCTTTTTACCTGTTCAAACTCTTCCAATTCTTAAAAAATAAGTGCACAAAACGTCCACCTTTAAGTTATTGTTCAACATTCAGACATTCGGATCATTGGAGGCGATTATGGACAATGCTGTGTGTATGTAGTACTTGTAGTAGTAGTAGTATGAAGTAGTGTAATGCACCACGCCTGAGACAAGATGAAAATGAACGGGAATGACATATAATTTGTCAATGTTCATACAAGTGCAATTTCTAAAAAAATGTTTGGACACTGTGTCAGATGTAAATAAATATGAATAACTATATCTCGATTTCTAAGAACAATAACAATTCACCAAATGTTGCCAGTGTGTACTAGTAGTAGCAAGATAAATAGAAATACTTTTAAAATAAGTACATTTGAATGCCTGAAATGCTGATATTGTTCTATAATGGGGAATAAATTAAGTTTCTGATAAAGATAAGCACAATTTTGGTGAATAAAGTAAGTAATTTTTCCTCGAAATTTGGGTTCTTTAAATCTCATAGATGGTGTCTTAAGGTATAAATAGCCACTTTGTGTTATAATGCTATGCTATGAAAATGAATAAAGATTTTGAAACGCAAGACGCCCTGATGGTAAAAAAAAAAGCGAGTCTGCCAGTGCCTGTTTGTTACTGGAGGTTTCCACACCTGCTTCAAAGAGACAGATGTTAACAGCACCAAAGTCCGTGCAGTGGGTTGTAACAACAAGCAATGTGGTACAGTTCAGTTTTTTTATGCGTTTCCAATGCCTGAAAAATATCAACTTAAGATGAAATTTACAGCGAGAGCAAAAGAATCAAAAATAAAATGCAAACTTCAATTACACCATTATTTTAAAATATTGGTCAAATGTTAGGCTGGTTAGGGTCTCTTTGATAGTATTTAAATTGCATAAGATATTTTCGTGTTTTTCTAATTATTACTGGTTTGGTTTGTACAAAGAAAATTGAGAAGAAAAGTAGAAAAACACAGGAAGTAGCATTCTAAAGCGAAAAACCTCTAAATATGTCATCAACTAATCTGAAAATCCCATCTAAAATGCACGGACACGGAACATATTTTTATGGCAGTTAAGCCTTCTGCAAAATAAAGGTGGTGTCATTTATTTTTATTTGTCTAATTATAACTATTGTGCGATTCAGATGTTTTGGCCCATTATGGTTGCTAGGTAACAGTTACGGAATTACCTCTAAACACGTCGTATCTGCTGCCAGGAAGTCAATGATAAACTTCATTCAAAATAATAGATGGATAGAATAGAAAGAAATAGGCTTTTTGTGTCTGTGTGTGTCAAATTGAATATAATGATTAGTAATGATTAATGTTTTAGTGAAATTAGTCATCTAACCTGTCATATGCACTTTAAATGAAGGCTTAATACTCTGATAACTGATGTCTCCGCCCTTAAAGGTTAACAAGTGCCCATGCAGAACTTAACTGTACCACTTTGCTTGGTGAAAACTGGTCTTTTTATGTCCCTATTTGGTGCCTGCGCAGTTGGAGCCCAGGCAGCGCGAGTGGGAGGAACAACCACGCACGCATTCAACCCTTTCATTCACAGGCGGAAGACGGACTGTAGATGGACAAACAAAAAACCCACGCACAACACTTAACGCTTTCACATGACGTGTTTGAGTGGACTTTTTTGCTTTTTAAAAAACAAAACAAAACAAAAAAACACATTATATTCTTGTTTCCATTTCCCCCGCCTAAGCAACATTTTTTCCATATTTTTACCCCTGAATTTATCTCTCTGAGGACAGTGACGAAACAAGGATGGGCTATAAAAATGATCTTTTTGAAGACACCTGCCCACCCGCGTCAATACATTTTGCCGGTAGTGTTCGGAACTAGTGTGGCTACACATTTTGAAGAAAAAAAAAGCAGCAAATTCACCCTAAACAACTAAACAATCCTATTTATAAAGATTTTGATATAATGTATATTTTTTATCTTTTTTTGGTGTATCATCTTCATGCGCTAGAGACTGGCTAATGTTGGAAATATAAGGTTGTTCATTCAAATCTACCTCAATTCAGGCATTTTGCATCACCTTCCCAATTTGCATCACTAGCTTGTCTCTTCCTCTTTTATATTTTTTAATTCACATTTTCTAACTTATGTAGTTTTTTTTTACCCTATTCGATTAGAGACAGGATACGTCTGAAAATAAAAATCAATCAACCACAAAGAAAACCATTCATTTTTTGTAAATAGGAGCACCATGTTGAATCGTGAACATACAGCAAAGCCAGGAGGCACAATTGTAGACAGTCTAAATATTCGACTAGGCTGTGCAAACATAAAAAGTACATTTAGAAAAACCTCTCCACAACCGCACAAGAACGTAAGCTATAACTAATTAAATAGATATCTTCTATATATTTAGTGTTGCTAATAAATACATTTGTTGATAGACATAGAGTTCTCTCTTTCTTTCAACTATTTACATTAAACTTTCTCTTTTGCTAAAACAATAAATAGCTATCACGAAGGCAAGTCATGGATAGATAGAATATGACATCTGTAGTGGCTTTTGAAATGCAAACGCACAGAGGAGGATATATTTCATGACGTCCTGTGCAGGTTTGTTCCATAAAGCCCAGTTAGCTCTTTGTCCCGACTCTCACCAACCCATTTCAGGCAGGAAGTACATCCAACAGTAATAATGCACCTGCCTTTTCCTTTAAAAAAAGCCAAAGATTCAACAAGTGTGACGAGATGGTTCACTAGAATGGCGTGATTTGGAAAAGTAAGCTGTATGTGAATGTAACATATATACTGGCACATAAGAGGTTTGTAAAATAATTTCAGAAGTATTAAAAACTGAGCACAAGTAATTGAATAAATATGATATAACAATATGTTTAATTGTTTTGGTCTGCTCCTGTCAGAAATCTCATATTGTAGGCGCTTACCACTACAACCCAATAGACCTACTGAGTTTGTGAGTTGAGCTGAGTGCTAATTTTAGCTACATAAACTGGCTACATACTTCGTTGGTTGCCTTTCACAAACTGAAATTGAAGTAAAAGGGGAATTAAGCCATACTAACCTGAAGCATGCCGTCACACTTGTAGTACCGAGGCTTTAGTGGAATGTGTCTTTTGACTGTTCTCTTGTCAGTTAGCTCATGTAGCGGACAGCGAAAGCACCTGCCCATAAATACAAACAAGTAACCCGGGGCGACCATTTGTTGTACCCTTGTCGCCGCTAAAGGCCGAGAGGTGAGCAAAGGACATACACTGGTGTTTCGGATGAGCGCCACAGTCTTCAGAGAGAGGAAATAAAATAAATTCTACCCCCAAATCCCCCCTAGTCCCTTCACAATCTCATGCTGCACAGATATTTTTTAAAGTTTTTTCTGTTTTTCTGTTTTTTGCTTTTGAGTAGCATGTGTGGACATTTACATGGAGGGAGGGTAGTGAGTTGGTTGCCCGAACTGTCAGGCTTTGTACTAAGGGGACGTATTGCTGTCAACAGTCTAGCTTATTGTCCACACGAGACTCACAAAATGGCGCCATAAGTTTGGTAACGTTTAGCGCGGCGAGTTTTTTTTTTTAAAGAGACAGTGTAGTAAAAGATGACGTTTTACAAAAGTGCAAAAGTCCCATGCACAGATGCGTGATTGAACTTTGGGTAAACTGTCTCCGAGATGTTTTTTTCGTGAGTGCGCGTGTGTGCGTGTTTACGACCACGGTGAAACTTCCCATGGCTCTTGAGGCGTACAAAAAGAGGCAGTGGGATATTGTGTGGTAACATTCTCTGGCTGAAAGTTGTGTTGTATTATCGGAGGACGGATGAGATGGGAGGGAGGCGAAGAAGAAGCGACCAATGGAGTGTCTTCGAAATCCCACTCGTTTTGATTGGTTTGTAGCAGAGTGGGTGACACCATACGAAATTAACATCGCGGGTGTCTCAAAATCTGGATGGAAGTTTGTGTGTGTGACGACTTGTATGCTTGGTCGATCCTGGAGGGGTGCGGGATGAGGCCGTAGGGGGCGCTGTTTAGGTGCTTTATTTGGGATTAGGAGGTGAGCAGGAGCGGCTTGAGCCTGTCCGGAGCGTTCTGCAGGTGGGGCAGGCTGGCGCTGGAGTAGCCCTCATCGCTACAGCTGCTCCGGAGGCTGCCTCTCTCGTCCCCTGAGTCACTCACGCTAGAGGTGCTCCACTCCAGGTCACCCAGCAGGAAGTCTGTGCCCTCCACGTCCACGTCCAGGTCCTCTGTGAAAGGGTAAACAGACAAGGGTTAGAAATAAAAATGCAGATACTACTCAATACCAACTCTAGTGTTGATACTGAAAAAAATAATAATATTAATAAGGTGCATTGTGTAACTTATCTTTTCTAGTGGAGGGTTTGCCAAATAGAGATATATCTATAGGTTCATCACAGTGTGGTATTAAACCTTTTTATCTTCATGGAAACCAAAACCAGATCTGTGGAGAGGCAGCCTGGCTCACAGTCAGAATGCTGTTTTTTCTAGATATTTTTTGAGCTATAAAATCACCTGTAATTGAATAAATGTAAGGTAGAGCTGTTTAATGTCATACTGTGGAACATTCCAGGCAGAGCAATGACATATCCATAGAAACAAGAAGGTGATGAACCTCTAACCAAAACATTACACAGTGCACCTTTAAAGTTAACACTAAATCAACTGTTCTGCTACTAAACTGGTGTTTGACTGGCATTGACTTCGGTTCCTAGTGCTTTTTTTTTTTTTTTTTAAGCAATTTTACTACAAACTAGTTATATTAGCAGCTAGTCCGTCAAAAACGTCAAAAACTAGGTGTGTCCTGGCTCCAGTGGTCATTGCAATTTCAAGAAAAGGGTCAAATACAGTAAACTGGAATAGTGAGGAGTAGCGCAGAATAGAATAGTTTCCACTCATGTGCATTTTTGTCAGATAAAACAAGTTCATGTAGTTAGAGTTACCACCCTAATAATTTACTATAATAAATATACCATACTAATAATGAAATTAAATCGCTCCACAAGGATGTGTTATGACAAAGAATGAGTGAAAATCTGAACCTACTTTGACTCATAATATATCCTACAATGATAGGCTCAGCACCGCCCTTTCAACGCCTCCGAGCTAAAAGGAGATCTGTGTGGGATGAACCAGTGCCAATGCATCTATTTCAATGTTTAGTCAACACTCAACTGTCTCAGAATTTTGAACATTTTATTTCAACAAGAAAAACCTGGCAAATGTCAAAATGTTGGGTAACTGTAGTTAACAGAAAAGTCAGTCTTTGTTTCCATAGTGACAGTTATGTAAGGTGACAGCTTCATAAATGAACAAAGGGCTGTTTTTGAGCAACACTTTCTCCATCAGTCTGGACCACAAGGCGTTTTGAAGGGAACAAAAGGTCTAAGTGCAAAAAAAGTAATCAATAATGAAGTGATTTCTAAGTCCCTTTAGACCTATGTGCCATGTAAAAATACAAATTAAGCAATATACTAATTAAAATTATTATGGAGCAGATTCCTTAAATACATTTTTAAGTTTTACTTTTGAAGCGTGAGTCTAAGAGATTGTTTCTGGAGGGTCTCATCAGAACCTGCCTTTCCTTCTTTTTATTTTTAGACCTAACTATAATCTTTTAAATAAATCATTGACCTGTGCAGTTAAGCATTGTTGCAACAAAAGTCAGCTAAATCAGTCTTACGTGAAATGCCATAGATCTGTACACGTGACAGGCTTTCATGTTTTCTTAATTACTTGGTTTAGTGGGATAGTACTTGCTATTTGTCATAGTTTTACATCAGTTAAGAGGCCGTTTGTGGGGAAAAAAGTTGAGAAAAAGATACAACAATACTAGCCAGGCTGGCACCACCTAGTGCCTCCGCTCAGTTTCTTTTCTCTCTAGCAACTAGGTCAGGAATCAAAGTACAATAGACGGTTTGCAAAAACCCTGGAAGTGCAAATTCAGGCACCAGCCAATCAGCGAAGAGTCATATATTCAGTGTTGTCAACGATTACCAAGATTGAGGTTTTAAAGCCGGAGTAAAGGGAATGTTTGGTGAATTTCATCAAGGGGAAAGATGTTATTGCCCTTCTCCCTACGGGATTTGGGAAAAGTTTAATATACCGGCGCATTACATACGTCATGATTAAATAGCAGCAATTGGTTAAATGATAAAAAGTACCCACCTACCATCGAGCAGACGAAATCTAAGGCTGCGAGGTCAGACGGTTTGTAAGAAGTGAAATGGAGTAAAATCGGCTGATGAATCACACTACAACAATACAGCAAGTAGAGCTGAGTTTGAAAACAGGGCCTCTGTACCTATGTCATCAACAAATTCGATCCAAAATCCAGGGACAGTTTATGCGATGTCATCTATTTTTATTTGTCTAATCATAACTATTGTGTAACTTAGATTTTCTTTTGGTACTTGTTTACATTATGGTGGCTAGGTAACTGGAATTATCTGCTGCCCATGTCCAGCAAGTAAAATTACTTCACCAAAATAAATAAAAAATTAAACTGGCATGATTTTCAGTGAATTCTTACATAAAATTAGTTAACTATGTTTTCAGTCATCATACCTGTCATATACACTTTAAGTCTAAATTAGTATCACCTTAGTAACTGAACTTGTAGAAACAAAAGCTTTTAACCTGACTTTAAATTAATCGATTGGTTTTAGAAATGTCTCATATGAAAGCTAAAACCCTCCCAAATTATGCTCAATATACTAAAATAAATTTGCTTCACTGAAGAAAGATTGATCATTTGACGAACACAGAAAGGTCAGATTTTGGCAAGACAAAAGTTTTGTCGCCTTGTCATATGATGCACCCAATCCTACATTACAGCCTCATCTGTGATCAGTTACTGATCAGTCAATTAGTAGGTGTGTATAAAAAGAACCCCAGCACACCAGACCTTCACATCAACTGCAACTTGACCTCTGACAACATGCCTAAGATCCACCCTGAGACCAAAGCATTAATCATCAAGAGGCTGAAGACCAGATCCACTGCTGAGGTGGCTGACACCTTCAATGTGTCTCAGCGTCAAGTACAAAGAATAAGAAAAAGATCTGAAATGACTGGAGATGTTTTTGACAAGCCCAGGTCCGGCAGACCCCACAAGACAACTGCTCGGGAGGACCGTTTGTTGATTCGAAAATCCAAGCCCAGCCCCTTTTCCACTGCAGCAGAGCTCCACCAGGCCTGGTCACCTCAAGTCCCTGTGACAACCACAACAGTTTGTAGAATTCTGTCTCGAAATGGCCTCCACGGTCGAATCAGTGCACAGAAACCAGCACTAAACAAAAGGCAATTAAAAAAACGTGTGGCATTTGCCAAGGCCCACAGCCTGCTAAAAGGATGGACACTGGAAAAGTGGCAGAAGGTGGATTTCTCAGATGAATCCTCGGTTGAATTACATCACAGCCACCACAAATATTGCAGGAGACCTACTGGAGCCCACATGGATCCAAGATTCACCCAGAAAAGTTAAGTTTGGTGGCAGAAAAATCATGGTCTGGGGTTCCATCCAGTATGGGGGTGTGCGAGACATTTGCAGGGTGGAAGGCAATATCAATAGCCTAAAATATCAAGAAGTATTAGCTACCTCTTACATTCCCAACCATAAAAGGGGTCAAATTTTGCAGCAGGATGGTGCTCCATCGCATACTTCTATCTCTACATCAAAGTTTCTCAAGGCGAAGAAGATCAAGGTGCTCCAGGACTGGCCAGCCCAGTCACCAGACATGAACATCATTGAGCATGTCTGGGGTAGAATGAAAGAGGAAGCATGGAAGGCAAAACCAAAGAATCTTCGATGAACTCTGGGAGGCATGTAAGACGCTTTCTTTGCTATTCCTGATGACTTCATCAAGAAATTGTATGAATCATTGTTGAACCGCATGGATGCAGTCCTTCAAGCTCATGGAAGTCATACAAGATATTAAATATAGATCTCACAGCACCACTACTTAATTCACTGACGTTATGCAACATATTTTTGTATTTTAAGTAAATTATTTGTTCAATTTTCTGTAGGCGACAAGACTTTTGTCTTGCCAAAATCTGACCTTTCTGTGTTCATTAAATGATCAATCTTTCTTCAGTGAAGCAAATTTATTTTAGTTTATTGAGCATAATTTGGGAAGGTTTTAGCTTTCATATGAGACATTTCTAAAACCAATCGATTAATTTAAAGTCAGGTTATAAGCTTTTGTTTCTACAAAATGGATAAGCGACAAGACTTTTGTCAGGGACTGTAGTAAACACATTTTGTCAAGGGTAACAATGATGTCATTGAAGAGGAATAAAATAAGTTTCCAGGCACATTACACTTTTTAACTTTATGGGAGATTTATCTTAGCAACCTCTTTATTGTGGCTTAGCATGTCTTCTTTCTATTCACCTTATTCCGCTCCACCCACTTTTATCTCTAAATTCTCCTAAACGGTGCTTTCCGGGGGTGGCACTAGCAGTTAAATGGGGATTTCATTCATGTCAATGGTGAATTTGATTTTTGCAGCTAAATTATGACATAAATTCGGTTAATTTGTGGAAAATGTTCAATGTTCATGTGCACCAACAAGTCAACACTTCACTGATTCACAGCTATATCGTCTGTATTGAACTTATTTGCTGTTAGGTTTGGCAGCTCCGAACAAAATAATACAATCTGAACGATGATGCTGTATATTTGTGTGTGCATCTCACCCTGGTCGGAGTCGGACTTGTCTGAGGCCGGGGTGGAGCCGGTGCTGTCCATGCGGGTGCGCTCCACCCCCAGCTGCTCCAAGCGTCTCCTCAGATGTCGCTGCTCTCGCTGAAGCTGCTCTAAAGTGTGCTGTGCTCGCCGATCGCTCTCCTCCAACCTCTGCAAACACACACACACACACAGTTCATATGCATCTCTCATTGTCAAGGATGCAAGGATATTACACTCAAACTTCCTATTAAAGGTGCATTGTGTAACTTTTCAGGTGGAGGGTCCATTGAATGCTTTTCTCCATGGAGACATTATTGCTTTGTCTGAAATGTTTCACAGTATGGCATTAAACCTTTCTACCACCATGGAGAAAACATCAGGTCACATCAAAAATACCTGTTTTTCTAGTTTTTTTTGAGCTATAAAACCACCTGTAACTGCAGCTGAGTTCAGTGTCATATTGTGGAACATTCGAGGAATGACATCTCCATAGAAACAAGAAGATGACAGATCCCCAACCGAAAAGCACTTTTAAACTTTAAATACAATTCTCCAATGCAATATACCACAATAAAACCTGATTGCACTGGTCATATAAAATCACTCACTATACAGTCAAAGAGTTCAAAGCAAAGGGTGGCTATTTTTAAAAATCCATCTAAAACAAGTTTTGCATTATTTTGAGTTTTTTTTTTTTTTTTTTTTACTACTTTCCATGTGTTTCCATGCATGTATTTGATGCCTTCAGTAAGAATCTATAATGCAAATACAATGGAAATAAAGAAGCAACATCAATGAGTGTGAGGGTTAGGGTTAGGGTGAGTGTCCAAAACTTTGACTGTTAGTGTGTCCAAAGTGCACTGTGCCAAATCACAGGTCATTTGCTTTGCCCTACAGACCCTGCCCAGGAAGAGGCCACCAATGAACTTTTTCCTTTGTGGCTGAAGTGGATAAAGCACTCATCCACCGACCCAAAAGTCACCAGTTCGACTCCCGCTGCGACCAGTGTCTACTGTCTTTGAGTCCTGGGCAAGACATTCACCTTGCCCATGTTTAAATGTAGTGTGTGTGTGATTAACGATGGTCAGAGGGGCCAATGGTGCACATTCCATCTTCTCCAAGATAGCTGTGGCTAAAGAATTAAGTTACTTAGTTATTATGACTAAAGTGTAGCGTTTAATTAGGGAAAAGTCAGCATAAGGTGTCACTGTGTTTTATTTCTGAACATTCGAGCCATCTATGCAAATGAATGATAAGGAAGGCACCATGTATAGATGGTGCTCTTTATACAAATGTAACCTTACCTGCCCTAACCCTTTTTGAACCAGGCCAGGCAGACTGATGACACTAGCCCCCCACACCTCCTCCCTCTCGTCTCCTGATTTGGACGCTCTGATTGCTGTGGCGTGTCTAAGTGGGCCCCTCACCTTGATGTGGTCTTTGGCCTTCATGAGCAGGCTCAGTGTGGTGTGCCGGCTCGCGTCTGGTCCCAACGGAACGAGGGATTTCAATCTCTCTAAACACAGCCGTAGATGTGCTCGTCTGTGGGGAAAACAAAAAGAAAAAAGCATTGTTATTTAAAGGTGCATTGTGTAACTTTTTTGGTGTAGGGGTCAAATGCTTTTTTCTGTGGAGATGTAATTGCTTTGTCTGGAATGTTTCACAGTATTTGCAAGTGTAGAGACCCCAAGCAGAAAGTTACATAGTGCACCTTTAAGAGGAGCAAACATGGTCTAGCACTGTGTCTAATATACTAAAATTTCTACTGATGCATGTCCAGCTTGTGCTACTGAGGGATTTCATCTAATACATTTTTATTACTCAGGAAATAGCTTTAATTTTCTAGATTTCTTTGTTAATGTACTTATAATATAATAAATATTTATAAAGCATAAATGGGCATTGCTTACACAGTGGCTCTGGTCTGCTTCAGTAGCGGCTGCATGGAGGCCTCAGGTGACCTTTGTTATCTTATTCAAATAAGATAACTTGAGTACAATTAGGCTGGGAGAGTGTGCAATGACGATATACGTGACATGGCGGCTATCATTGCTGACATTGCAAATTTGTTTTTCCAGATTCTTGTCCAAACTAAATTATTAAATCAGACTTGGTATAGGAGCATAATGCAACAGCCTTATAAAAGCAGAGACTTAAGAGGTTCACTGTGCAAGTTCTGTTGAAGGGTTCTGTTGAGGGCTGCTTGAATCATAAAATGTTTGGCACTTATTCAATTACATGCATTTGTATTGCCAAAAACAACATCTGCATTGAGCAAAGGTTAAAACTCTGGACTATAAATGCATAATGTCCCTTTAAAATATATACTGACATGTCTTACATGTCCTTAATTTATGATGTTGTATTACATAAAACTATGTTACTAAAAAGTGAAATATATAACTACAGGCATGTTTTGGTTAACAGTCACACCACAACATACAGCACTTTAAACAACTCTAAAGTTTTAGTTTGATATTTAATATGTTCTCTCTCTCCTCTGCCCTTGCTCCTGCTGTACTCGTGTGGCTGTGGTAGCTTTGGCAGCTGTTTAGATTTGAGGTGGGCGTCTGTGAGCACTTGACCTGCTGTTACACAACACACCTCCGGGTGGCTCGGTGCGTACGTGTCTGAGCCCAGGGAGAGTAGGCGTGTGCGCTGCGTCTCAGGTTAAAATGGTTTTGGGGCAGGCAGCTGTGGGGCTCACTGTGCTCTGTGCTAGTGCAGGTACTGAGGCAGGAAGGACTGCATTCAAATGTATGGACACAGTCATTTGACTGTACTCATCCCCATTTAGACAGCCAAATGTCAGCCTAGTTTTAAACAACGCCTAAAGCAAGACTAAGTAATAATTAAACTAGATGTGAGCAATGCTATCTAATACTCAATAATATTATAATGAGTACTGTAATAAGTGCTGTTTTGTTCTGTATGTAGTCTATGATTGTAATACTGTGCTTGTGCTGTTTTGCAGAAAAATGTTTGAATACTGGCTATTATCTACAATATAAAATTGTGCAAAAAATGGAACAGATTAAAAATAAAAATGGACAAACTTATGTTCTAATATTTCAAACAAGGTTGTACTTTTGTGTTTAATTGTACAGTTTTTCCAAATTTGTATTATACTTAAGCCTCAGCTAATCAATTTTGAAATGTTTTAGCATATTTCTGCTGAATTGCCAAAATATCTTCTAATGATTGTTATCGGGATTTAAATTTGTTTTATTTCTGACTATATCATCCAGTCCAAATAGAACCCCTTAAATGAAAGCAATGCAACCTTAACAGTGGGCATCCAAATCATGTGTCCAAATGTGAACATAGCAATACTAGATCCAAACCATACTAAATTAGACCTATTTAAAGTCAATGTTAGGACTAAACCATATGCAAAACATTAAACCACTACAGTAGCAGTATGATATTAGCGTAGATCCATAGAAGCCAGGACAAAACCAGATCCAAATGTTCACAAAACCAGGACTGAACCAAGTCTACACTTTGTATTTACACTCTACCTGGACACAAACATGTATCAACTACACCAGCAATAAACAAAGGCAAACAACCCAGGGACACTGTAGATGTGCAATATAAGGTGGTTCCCTGGTGCACAAGTTTTCCCCTTCACAGACAAACACCATGCAAATGAATATCCCACGCATACATTCAAAGCAGTGCTACAGCTGAGAGTTAGAGCCTGCTTCTCAGCTGACAGTCCAAAGGGCATGCAGATTGTCATTACATAACATGGAAATGCCCTGGCCTGTTCTGACATAATAAGGATCATTGGGGCGGGCTGCTGTTTGTTAAACACCGATGATGAACAAAGCAGGTCACATGATCTGACCGAGAAGATAGAAACACAGCAAGCTAACACCCAAAGTCACAAGTTGTAAGTTAAATGCTGAATTAACCATATTGTAAACATACATATTTGCTTTGTTGCGTTGTTATTGTTAACAAACATTGAAAAAGTTCATGAGCTACTTATCTTCATATGCTATTGCTTTGCCTGGAATGTTGCAAAGACTCGCCTCTCCACAAATCTGACCTGTAACTTGGCCTTGTGGTGTCACCTGCTTGTGTCCATGGAGAAAAATACATCAGATGCAATTGGTGGTTTTCAGATGACATTACAGTATTCTATAGAACAATATTAATGAATACAGATAGGAGCAGCTAAAGTGATTATTGTTACTGTATTTTACTTATTTTATTACTGTAATTGAAAATACCAGGTTCAACATTTGTAAATTCATCTTTTGGATATTTCATGGCAAAGTGCAATGTTGTCAATTGGAAAAGTTGGCTCTTGCCCCCCATTTGGGAGTATGACATCATCACATTGTAGATACAGAATCTGAAAACTGGCAATACTGTGGAACATTCCTGGCCAAACAATCACACAAGCACATGGTGAACCCTCTAACAGAAATGATACATATAATATCTTAAACAATTTGATGGAACGTTTGAGCTATTTCAAATGAGAAAACAATTGTAAACATAGCTCAATACCAAACTACTACAACTACCTCTGCAACACGTTATGAGTGAGTTTACTATCTCCTGCCTGTTCAAACAACTCCATATTGGACAGATTCTACATTCTTGTCACCAGAAATGTCATAAAAATATTTGCAACTTGTGTGTAACGTCCAGTAGCTCATCTCTAGCCTCTCACCTACTAAAAACTTCCAACTAGTTCAGCACAGCCCCATACTTTAACAGAGCAGCAGTCAGTCAGCCTTGGACTTGACCTTTGAACCCAGAGAGGAGCTGCAGTCTACAGCTACCAGTGGCGACTGCCCAAAGCTAGCAGGAACATAGCAAAGGTGGGGCAGGGAGTCTCATTACACAAACACGTACCCAAATGCATGAGTAGTGACTGAATCTGCTAAAGACAAGTAGTATAGTCCAGAATACAGAAGATCTATCTAGTAATAAATAATTGAAGGCATTGTGAAGTTAACGGTAAAGTTAGAGGAAAAATTGCTGTATGATTTATTGTTTATGATGTCATTCATTGCTTATTTCAATTAATTTAATGTATTTACAGCTTATTTCTTTATATGGTTGACAAATAATGGTCAATAGCCTTTAAAATACAGTGCCTTAAAGAGACGCTGATGAGACTAATGACTCACTTCTGGAGTCACTGGTGAGTATTTCTCTTTATGCATTGATCATCTTTTCCAGTGGTTGAATTTGCCTTTGATCACAGCTATTTTGCATAAAGACAGAACTGCTTCATAGCTTCAAGTAGATAACTAGTTATGGTAGTCTTCAAAGCGAATAATTCATGCAGAAGATATTTTTATTTTTGATATGTTGAACAGTCCTTGGTGTAACTGTGATCGCTCTAAGCTGCTTCTCTTGTATTAGCCAAGCCAATATTGCAGAAAAGGGAGGAGGGGGAGGGGGAGGGGTGCCGTTTCACTGGCTTTGGTGTGAATACTTTGGGTCTCCTCTGAGTCATTTACTACGTGCCATCGGACTTAGAGGTGGGAGAAAAACTGGCAGGAAAAGTAGTCGATGCTTCTCGAGTTGTAGCACGGCAAGTTCTGCTTCTAATTTTGACTTGAGTCTAGTCTGAGGCTTTCTAAAGAGGTGTGATATGCACAGAGCTGGATCCCCGGGTGCCATGTATTATTCAGACCGGGCTAGTTTGGATCAGCTAGCACAGGGTGGTGGCTTTGAGAGGGCGATGCTACAGAACAAAGACAAGAGTGATTTTAATATTGGTTTGGGTCAGCTGAACAAGAAAAGTAACAGAGTCCAAATCATTATCTCAATCTTCTGCGATGTTTAGATTAATTTATAATGAAGCTAAATAGTAGCTGTCTGCAAAATATTGCGCAGTGGATGCAATTTGAGCGCTGGCCGTGGTTAGAAAAAGGCTAGTGATGGAGTAGGAACAGAAACAAACAAAAGAGCTACAAGGATTGCAATGTGGTGATGTGTATTAGTGAGGGGCAGGAGTATTGAGTTGTGGAGAGAGATGAATGGACTAAATAAATATGGCAGCTTGATGATTACTTTATTATTTTTTTGTAAGTCAGTTTAACATATAATAGTCTCTAAGCTCTCAGGTTAGTGTTCATGCTCAAAAGAGCACTTCTCACTTAGCTCTCCATAGCAACCTCCAAAATATGATTCTTGTTTTGGTGCTTATGTTCCATTATTCTTCCAGCTAATTATTACTTATGCCAGTATTGTTATAACTATCTGACAGTAGGCGCCATTAGTTTGTGTACGCTTGTCTATACTACAGCCAAGTCCATCAATAGTATTATTTCACAGTGAGGTGCCTGCAGTGGCATTTTGAAGCTGTTTTGGCACCTGATTGGTTCTTCTGTGCCAACATGGATTTATTCCTTTAGATAATTTTGGTTCCTCCGACTTGAATGACCGTCAGAGTATTGACGTCGGTCATGGTTACGTAATTAAAAGTGATATGAACAGCTTGTAATCACTTGTGTCTGTCATTATCATTTACAATACATTTCACAGCACATGGAAAATACTTTTACAACATTGAGTCTCTCTACAATGTGCATGCGCTTCAGTCCACCATGCAAACGTTATCATGCTTTCTTTGTGTACTACATACCTGTTTTTTTCCATTTCATTGTGCGTAGACCTGTGAAGAAAAGCAAAAACATATTAGAAATGTAAAAGATTTAGAATTTTTAAAGGAGACACATTGTGCAAAAGTTAGTGTTTAGCTTTTCTATGTCAGATTATGTGTTTCCATATTATTTGTAATGCTTGACAAGTGACTAATCAGTATTATCCTGCATCTTAGATTTTCACCTATCCCTTTTATACCCACTTCCCTATACTAACTTTTCTTTACTGAAAAAAATACTCTGGATCATACATGTAAGGTAAAAAAATGTGTAAGAATAAAACCAAATAAATGGAAATCCACTGCTTGCTTGGTTGAAAAGCAACTGGAGTGGCTGGGTTTATCAATTCTGATTTCTTTATAATAATGATCTACGTGCTCTAAGCTATATACTATGCACTACAAAAAAAGCATTATGTCTTCTATAATAATAACCCATGAGAACTATAAAATGCATTAACAATCAGAGTTCCCCAATGCTTTAGTCCAAGGCCTTACTGCAGGGAGAAAAAAAAACAGCGTGGGAGTAAGTGAGTAGAAGAGCTGACGAAATGAAAATACTGGAATACAAATTTAATAAAAATCATAGAGAAAGCTGCAATGGCCTCGCAGGAAGCTTGTGTTTTTTTTTTAAGAGCAGGAGGATCTTACGAGGCTGGCGCTCCATGGGTAAACATAGTAACAGTAACTAGAAACAGCACAGACCCTCAAGTCCAGGCATTATCCACTGTAGCTATAGTTTCTTGGTACTTTCATTTCATAGTCTAGTGTCTTGGATTCTGCAGATATGTCCAAATTGGGGTTGTGGACTAAAACTAGAGCAGGTATTGATACCAAAAAAAAGTAATTAACAGGACATAAATGAACCTTTCCTGAATAGGTTTACAATGATCCTCATGAACCACTAAGAAATCTACCCGTATGACTGAGGAATTACACAGGTATAAGCCCTCACTGTAATTATTATATATAATATTCCTTAGTATTGCTGAAATGTTAGTATCGTGACAACAGAAGTACAAAGGTTTTTAGGAGAAATTCAAGATAAACTATGTAAAAGAAATTCTGTATTAAGGTCATTTAGCACTAACTCTAACCAAAATGTGATATCAATACACTATCACTGCGTTTGAAGATTATAATATTGTCTGCCAAAGGGTATGCATTTGAGCTACTTAAAAGCATACCCTTTTAGCGTTTAAGTAGATACAGGTGTTTGCCAGTGTCCAGTGACTGGTCAGAACCAAAGCTCTTGACATAACACAGAGGACAGGACTAAGACTAAAGTGGGAAACTGGGTCAAGTGCAGTTTGTGGACATTGGTTGTGTGTGAATCGGGGCAGGTGGGCATTGGTCAGGGCAAAAGCCAGAGAAGAGGATCCTCCCTCCTCCACCTCGCTTTGACCTTAATCTAATCTTAGCTCGGTCACTGTCAGTGCAGAAGGACACGCCCCCATCTCTGGACCACGACCGGAGTGGCTCATGCTAGAGAGATACTGTTATACAGCTGAAAATCTGTGCAGTACATACAATGTGAAATTCGTATCTCAAATTATTATGGATTACTTTTTCAAAACAATAAAATCCCACATTCTAGTTTTGAACAGTTAGGAACTTGTCTGTAACTCTCAGTAGCATGTGCATGGAGGAATCCATCTTGCATTCTGATAACTGTATAATATTAGAAGTTGAACATGTAGAGCCCTCAAACCTGGACAAATTCAGATTATTGGATCAAGATGAGCATTAGGCAAGAGTTAGATGCTTTGGAGTGCTAACCCCAGAGGACAAAAAACAAAAGTACAGAAGATTATCCAGGCAGATGTTCTTTAAGAGCTATGATCAAGCTTCTGGCAACCTATTTTTGGAAGTGACAAACCATTTGACCATTTCCAGATACATTTTTAAAGCACCACTTCTTTGAGGAAGCACATTTTAGGACAAATATTCTGCTTTCTCTTTGTAACCATATTTCCAGGTTTTATTTTTCAACATTACACAAAGAAGTAAAATTGCTACCATTATATTTGAGATGACTTGGATTAGAATGTTTTTTTATTCTTCCATAGAAAAAGTAAAATAAGTAGTAGCTGCAAATTTGTTATATGCAGATGTTAGGGTTAGGGTGTCTGTTGCATGGGGCATAATGTTATTTTAGCTGATTCTTGGGGGGCTGTGGAGCTGGCCACCTTGAGCATTCCTGTTTGGGTCAGACACTGGTGACATAACTGTGAAATGATCCTGGTTCAGAATACTGCCCTGTCCACTGGTCCGGCTGAAACTTGCCCTGTGCCCTGTGGTGCCCTGTGGTGCCAGAGTACAGCTGATACAGCTGATTAGTTAACGATAGGGAGGGTTTAATATGTGTGCATTAAGTACAGGTATTTTAAGAACTGTGACTTGACATTTAGTAAACAGTAGTGGTTTGTGCATGGTTCTACTAATAATGGGAAGATCTTATGAATTTCTAACACTACTGTTACATTTTACAGTCTAAACTGAGTTGCACTGTTGTCCGCAAACAAATATGCAGAGGTAACTATTGACAAATAACTATAGCCCCCAGTCTAACAGAGTCACATGGCAACAACTGTCAGACAGAGGTCACCTGCTACACTATTGTTTGACCACATGCCATCTATTTAAGGAGATCTCTCTTCTGATTGGATTAAATAGGTCACCAGGAAATGGTTGTTGGCTGTAAACAAAATGAACAACAATGCTATTAACTCTACTACAAACGTAAATGCTGGCAGGTGGTTTAAGCCAGTGAGCTTTTGCTAAAACATGAGGGTGGAATCCTAAGTGTAAGGGGCAGGTGGATATTACCATTAATTGTTTGAATGGTTGTTCTTCACTTGTACATGTTTTGAAGTTGCCAGCCTTAATTAATAAAAAAAAAAATTAAGGCTGTATAATATATTGCAATTGAATCAAAATTGCAATTCGAGTTAGCGCTATTATTAAATTAGAACGTTTGTATTTGTAGATTTAAAAGGATTTAGAAAAATGAAGAACATCCATGACAAGATGAGATTAACTTGGGGTCTGTGAAACCATCCAATAATCAAATTGTTCAGAATTGTTAGATTTTAAGCAGTAGTTTCAGATGACTCAAATAAAACAGTACAGTCCCCTCAGTGAGCAGCAGGTGTCTGTGATGGGGGATCTGAGGCGTAACATTGAACAAAGTTAAGGCAGAAAGTCATTTTAAAATGATAATGAAAGTTTACCTGGGCAGGCAAGGCAGTAAGGTATTCTATTTCTTTTTCTTATTCAATCAAAATTGAAAACTAGTCATTATTGAGTTGGGATGCACCATATTTCCAGGTTAACCATTTTCTTTTGAAACACATTTAATAAAATCTCTTCCTTGGAAATACAACTGCATTTGTCTTCTTACAACTGGCCTTAAAATGAAATTGAATCAACCGGATTATAACCGAGGAAGGTAGTGTAAAATTGTTGCCTGATATGCGAAAGGTCTTTGTTAATTGAAAACACTGGTGGATTGCAATATTTTAAGAACAAAAATTAATTTAAAATGGAACTGTAAGTAGTGCTAAGTCAAATTAACCTTCTATGCACCTATGTTATTCAGTACACTGACAGCATATCTGTTATTTAAAACAAGAACAGAGCAGATGCACCTTGCAGCAGGTGAGCTCCAGTAGACATATGGCTTTGTCACTGGGTCAGGACTACAACCATGTTTCACTATACATCTCGTTGATCTTTTCACATTACTGCTTTTGTTAACAGCTAAATCCACTCGCAAACACTGAGAATATGATATGGGCCATATGTGAGCTGCTTTGATGCATTGAGGTAAACTGCAGTGAAGGCCTCCATTTTCCGTGCTTCACACATATGACAAGATCCCTCTGTGATTTGTATAGAGCGCTGCCCGCACTAGCACATACATGCAGGAGAGTGGGGGAGGTCCCTTCATCTGTGTAATGGAGGAGCTGCTGGTTCTCTCCAAAGCTTTGCCAAGAGCAGGAAGAGTGGAGGAGGTGAGAAGGGGGAGAGAGACTACCAACACGGGGGAGGGGAGCGTCACTATAGCACCACTGACAGAGTACACATCAGTGCTTGCATCACAGTGACTAACCCTCCCCCAAAGCATCGCACAATATAGGGAAGCACCAACCTCATGCTCCATACTGGGAGACACACCACTGCCCTACATTTGAAGTCTGCAGCTAAACGAAGCGCTGGCTGAACTATATTGTGCTTTGAAGTCTTGACATGTTTTCACACTTCACACCACTTTCACACTGGTGAGCCACTTTTGTAGCCACAGCTACAAGTTCATGACAAACGCCTTTCTGTCCCTCACCATTCACATGAATTCTTACATGTCAAATGTGTGCATGTGTCATGCACAAGAGCACAACAACTGTAAGCACTTACAGTATTTTCAAATTTTCTAGTATTTATTTATTTTTTTTATTCTGTTGTGAGAAAAAAACTGCATTGTATTTGATAAAATAGCACAATGTAAACACAACCGCTCTACTTGGGGGTCTGCAATGTTCTTTAAATAGTTGTAAATGTATTGACTTGGATCGCTAACAATCATTAAATGCATTAACAACTGCATAAAATGAAACATTCACCTTGATTTTGTGCAGTTGAATAATATTTTATGCTAGAGAGGAATTTTTCAGTCAGTAACAATGCAGAACTACAAAAAGGCTATCCTTACGATACTATGAACATAATGGCTTACTATGAGGAAGCGTGGCTGCTGTTTTTGAATAGTAATGAGAAGGAAAAGGCCAACATAGCGTAAACTGTTGTGGAGTGGTCATTCAGTCAAATGGTGCATCAAACAAGGTCAATCTCACTGCAGATAGTATCAAACAAACATATTGCTTACTTATGGCCCCTGCAGGTATAGGTACATAGCACTGACAGTTATTTAAACAGACTTAACTTTAAATACAAACTCTGTGTACCTTTTTACTGTCACTTAAAGCAAAAAAGTAGGTCAAAATGTGGTGAAGAAACAACATGGCCGTACTTCAAAGGCATTGAAAGTGAACTATATGGGAGAAGTGTATGCCTTTGGCAAATGTTCACCCTAGAAGATCAGCTGTGGAACACTCAAGAGTTTTAGAAAATCAATAGTGCATGATTCTCCAATTTGAAATAGAAAAAAGACATGCAGGTTCAAATTAATTGCTGTGGCATAGTATGTTATGACTGACATTGAATTGAGCGTTGTATTATTGAATTTAGGTAAAGTGAATATTTTTATTTTGAACAAATGCAGACAAAACCATCAGACATGATTTTTGTTTGCATTATAATCAGTGACTGCTTCACTCTCCTTGATTTAAAGTTCCTACATTATGCAAAATTAACTTGTGTGAGCTTTAAGACATGTTAGAATATTTTTGATATTAACTCATTAAAAACATACCTGGAGTTGTGTTTTGTTTCATTCACACGTTTGAGTAATCCTGCATAGGCAGTTTATATCTCCCAAGATCAAAATGCTCTGTTTCAGCTTATGATGTCATGAAGTGGTATTTTACAAGTTAACAACTGTTTTTTTTATCTTTTGTTTAAAAGAGATTGGTAATTCCTGGGCTGAAATTATTCAAATAATTCTAGTGAAAGGGTATGGACTTTAAAAACACAGTGGAGCACTTACTATATAACCACATGACATCATCATGTTTTCTTTTTGAGAGAAGAATACAGCCTAAATATGCAGGGTTTGTGTGTTCAACATGTATGAATAAAATAAATACAACTCTGGGTATGTTTTTGATAAGGAAATAAACTACTATTAACTGAGAATACAGAACCTCACTCCTGTCTCTTTGTTAGATCTATTGTTTGGGTCCATTTACGTTGCATAATAAACGTGGGCGAGATCAACATCCTGACCAACCTGCTGGATGTGGCATGGCGAACTATACTTGTCAAGCCGGCTTTATTAAAACAAATTAATGTCTCTGACTGTCCTTGTCTTTATAACAAAGCCACACTGTCATATTTTCTGGCAGCACCATTCACCCACACAACTACAAAGTATGGCCACAATTACGGTTAAAGTTTATTACTGATAGCGGAAATACCACAATACTTACTGAAAAACAAATGCAAATGCAAACTAAAGGAAACTACATTTTTGGTGCGCTTTTTATTACTACAATAAACAAGATGTTTTTGCTTTCATCAAAAGGTGCATGTCTTTACTACAATCTCTGATAAGAATGCTATGAACACGTAATTGTTATCATCAGTTCAAATATCTTGTTCATGAAATAGCTCAAGTTACCAATCATGTAAGATCTACTTAGAACTGTCAAACTATAGCAGGGATGGGCAATTATTTTTTCCATGGGGCCACATGAGAAACAGAAAATACTGTGCAGGACCAAAATGCTTAACTTAATTCTGCATAATATAAAATGTATTTTTAATAATAATTTTAAAAAGCAGTAAATAACATTGTTTTAATGAGCTGGTAAGACTGGTAAGAGTATAGGTTATGATTAATCAATGAAAAAGTGAGGTTACCTTTAAAAAAAGTTTTTTTTTTTTTATGAAAAAACACATCAAAATAGAAGAAATGCAGCTTTAGTCCATGCATGAGATAAAATTATAAAATATGTTTATTTTGTAACTACAAATTAGTTTAAACGCCCAACACTGGTCTATAGGATCAAATTGTGATTAGTGAGGTGTTAAGTATGTGCTAATGTGATATGAGAACAACATCAAGAGATAACTAAGTATATTTGGGCACATGTGAGCATTGGATACAGGGTTAGCCAAGGTAACAGACCTATATATAAAGCTATTTTTAGGCGGGTTCACCTTAAAAGTACCATACATCCTGACTGACTAATCTCCAGAACAGGCTCACAGCCAGTTCACACCTCTTGAAGACGCATGACCAGTTTATCAAGCACAAACCATCTACTGGAGTGTGGACTGCTTTGAATGACAGCTTATACATTCACCGTGATAGGAACCGGTTGCAATTTGGAAGACACTTCAATTAATTACTGGTATTATTTATTTAATTAATTAAATTTTTATGCTTTTTACAATAATCCCCAGCATAAATTGATGCTTCTAATCAAATGCTATGCTGTTCTAGCTGCTACACAATCGATTCACAGAGGCAACATAACGTTCCAATTAATTCTGAACTTTGCTGCCGTCTCATCACTTCGCACCTCGCGACACAATTTAATAAGTATTACATCAGCGCAGATACAACTTCTGCTGTCCACCCCAAGGCTCCACCAATGATACAAGAGGCTGGGTTGTATTTTTAGTTTAGTGTGTATGTGTTAAACCATTCGATCTTTGATTAAACTGAATGGGAATTTAAAAATTAAGTAGTCATATTGCCACATTGAAAAAACAGGACCAGTGTGTAGTGTGTGGATCAGTTACCTTGATGGCCCCACTTCCCTTTTAGGACATCTGAGCGGTACTGATGTTTGCTGCCGTCACTCTAATAAACAGCACATATTTTATATAGAGATTTAAAGGGAGAGGGGCGAACTGGTCTGTGAGATAAATTAATGGGTATTTTGTTATTAACAGGCATTTTGTTTTTGTATTTATTCATTTTCAGTTTCAACATTCAGCTTCCATGTATAAAGATTGTAGGGTTGTGTTTTTGGTATTTTTGTGTGATACTGAAGGTGTCAATATTTTGAAGAATGTGCTGCATAAAAGTGGTTTATATGGTCAGTAATGGGCTAAAGGTATAACAGTAGCTTTCTGCATCACTGCTTGGATCCAAAACAGAACCATAATGCATCACTCACTTTGTTTATTTGTTGACTCATTCACATGGTCAATATTATACACAATGGAATGTTAAAAAAATTTGATGTCTTCAACAGTCAAATACTGTCAGTTACTGCCATTCATGTGCAATATTTTGTTATTACATTTTATAATAATATTTCTTAGTAATACAGCTGCAACGCCACATGCATTTTAATTGAACATTGTATTATATTATGTACAGTCCAGTCTTGTCAGAATATGCTACAATATGTCAACAGTCTGGGTACAAAAATGCTCCTACCTGATGCTTATTTGATACATGGCACATAAAAGGCAACTTCAAATGCATAAGAAAGTCTGTTTCAAAGTAAGCATGCATTAAAAAAAATTACCTGCTACTTGTGTTTTTCTTGCTTTTGCTTTTCCTTTTCAAGCTCTCCCTCTCTTGACTGCTGATGAAGGGTGGGATTGAGGCATAGCCATGTTCAGCTTCTGCAGACAGATAAACAACACAACACACAGTGGTCACATGTTGGTATATCAGGCAATGGTGCATACGAAAAACACAGGACAGAACCAAGGAAATAGGTGGTAAGAATAATCTTATCGAACATTTTTATGCTCAAATCTAACTGGGGCAGCAGTTGCTATACGTTTTGCTGTAGTTCTCCCCTCTGCCTGGACAATGATGTCATCTTGAACTGAAATAAACCCGCTACTGAACCACAACAGAAGGGAAAGGAGGGGCTCCCATAAAACATTGTCTCCTGCATCTAACACATGTCAATTATCATTATATCTGAGAAAAACCTCCTAAAGAATTCATAATTAGTTTGCATATGTGCAGTTATATTGCATGCATGTGGTGTTTGAGTGGGAGGTGCATTGTGCAGCACTGTTGTGAAATCCCTTTAGTGCTATTTTGAATGCAAAACACACCAAATGAATAGAACAATTAGGAATATTATGCAAGTAGAAGCCTTTGAACTAGAGGTGTCATGACACTGTAAGAAAGACTGTGCTTCAATTACAAAACATTAATATTAATAGGAATGGGAATGTCTTAATTGATGAGATGGGCAACCACAATATTTTATTATCTCAAAGAAAAGGCTAGATGCATCTTTGAAAGGCTACAATGACACGAGGTGGTCTAGAAAATTCCACATGACCAGTCTAATGAAAATGTAATAGCAAAAACAAAATTTAAAAATTTATAATTAAAATAGAATTTAATTTAGGGGTCTGGCATTCACTATGGGCTGCATGCTTATGATACATTTAATGCATTTATTTTTGTTCTCCCCAATGTAAATGTATAGAAACCTACCTCTTTCCCTGCGGTCAAGGAATTCAGCAGCTTCAATCAACAACTGCAGCATTCCGACCGCGGCCATTTTCAACAATAACACTGATTATAATGAAACAATCCGAGGAGGGGATCCCGTGGCTGTGCACACAAGCTGCTTCTGGTCCTGCACTGGCTTCCCTCTTGCTTCCTTGACTCAGGTGGCTCTTTTCGGATTATTTCAAGGCAAGACGAGCGACTTCTGCGATGCAAAAACGGGCTATTTAAAAGTTAAATGCTTGGGTATCGTTACAGACTCAAGTGGTTTTAAAAGCTCTTTAAAAAAAGGGTTTTTCTATAAAGCCAAGTGAAGGTAGCTTAATCGCAAATTCCTTTTCGGAAAGGTTGTTTTGACCCTTGAAAAAAAATCTTTATCGTTAATGGCAGTTTTAGGTAACTAGATCTTGTCATAAAATTAAAATGGTTGCCAAAAAAGAAGATAGGCAAGGTTAGCTCAGATTAACAGCGGCCAAATTAACGAGAAAATGTCTTTAACTCAGTTGTTTATCAAAAAGGAACCTTGTAAAACAGTAGCGACGTCTTTTTCGATTTACAAAGACTTGCCTGGAGTGAAACTGCTGAAAAAGGAGCGAGAAAAAATTAGGAACAGCGAGTGTTTATCAAACTGCTTCCAAATAGTGGCTTGTTGATCTGAACGATAGCTAACAACTGTACCACAAAGCTCCTGGCAGCGGCCATCTGATTGGATACTGGACATAACTACTCGAGTTCCCATTGGCTATTCGTCATGTCAATCATGGAAGGGGGTTAGCTGTTACTGCAACTGAAGACCGCGGTCCGCCATTACGGCTCTAGATAGTCGCTTAAAATACACTATCAACATCCGAAACAAATAAATTTACACAAATGGACGGTTGCACATGATATAAATAGAATAATTGCAGATACATGTGTAATGGTTGGGTTTACCATCCGTTTAATTACGTTATTAAGAGGATTAGGTGTTTAGGGCTGGATAAATACTGGAGCAGCGGTGCAAACAGAGGCAGTCAAAAAAGTAGACACTCAGTCAGAGCTTCTTTATACATTAATCTGCCATTCGTACTCGTAGAGAATTAACTTCACTCGGTTCAGCGGTGCATCATTTCATCAGAGCATTTAAATGATAGTAATAGTGACACATTTATTGTATACAAAAATAATCGATGCTACGTGGACCCAAAATGGAGTCCGTTTTCTGTGCCACATCGTCGCACGCGCTGATTGGTTGCTTGCTCGTGACTTCCACAGCCATTGGTCACCAGGTCCACGAGCTAAAGTGACAACGCCCGCTCATGACAGCTGACACGCCCCCCTGGCCATGCTGGTTCGCGGTGGATCGCGGTGATTGGCTGCTGGGCTGTTGTTTGTCTGGTGTTTGTCCCGTTCACGGATTGGCCAAATTCACATGCTCGCTTTTTATTGGACTGCAGCTCCCCCAATCCTAAAAAACTTGCAAACGCATGCGTGCAAGGCAGCAAGCCAAGAGAAACATGATACTTCTCTAGTTGTGTAAGTATTTTTATAAAAAAATATTTGAATATCAATGCATAAAACGTATTCTTAATGTAATCATGCAGATCTGCTTGCAATAGCAATAATACGATTGGCTTAATTGTTAGTTTTAATGAAGATTGCATTAGGGCAATTCACCGTTTGAACGCATTTGTCAGGCAATTATTAATTAGAAAGACTCAGCAGCACAGCTGAACAATTAGAAAACTCTTAAAATTCAGCATAATAAAACAGCTTTATTTGAAACTATTTGTGAAGAGTTCTGTAACACTAAACAATACATAACAATAAACAATGTGGACTACAGTTTATTGCAAGCTTTGTATTTACACCAAAAGTTAATTCAAGAACTAATGCATCAAATAATACATAAAATATAACATAAAATAGCACAGTGTCCACAAATGTGAGGGAGACGAAGGTACGTATGTCCAGCAACACAAATCGATGATGAGGTCTCATGCAATAAAATCCAGTGGTCTGTTGAATCCCCCTTTCCTGTTCATGTACTGCCTGCAAAAATATATAAGAAAACATTACATCACTGTTACCCTCGCAACACTTGCAGATTACATCACCGAGGGCCAATGGGAGAGCGAGGAGGTCTGCATAGAAACACCTGCAGAGGTGATTGGCTGCAATAACACAACTTGATGCATCAAGTGTCCTGTGTGAGATGACTAGCAAGTTGATGTTTTACCTAAGAAATTTGGACTACTTTTCAGCAGTAAATTCATACTAGAATAGAACCTTTACAGAGTCTGCCACCTCAGAAAACCTGTCAATTTCAACATATAATTTGTTCGGTACTAAAAGAACGTTAAAAATATTCTGTTGACTAATGATGCACGTGTAACTGACTAAAGATGGAGTTACTTTTAACTTCTGGACTAAACCACAACTATAAAGAACAACAGACAAAAAATTTACAAAAAATTAGCAACTGGAACTGCAAAAGTCTCCAAACAACCCTTAAAAGAAACCCACCAGTGGTACCATACAATAATTCCTCCCATTTAGGAGAAAAACTAAACCTTTGCACTGAGGTATTGTTCCAGCCAATAATGCCATAGGGTAAACCCACCTGTATTTTCTCTTCATGGTGACATTCACAGCATAAGCATTTACCGATGAATCAGTTTTCTTCTTGCCCTACGAAAAAACATAATTAGAAACAGCTCCACATTTTAAATGTGTAAGCATCTAGATTTAAACAAGATTAAACTATGATATAATGTACAGTTAAGTCTCAAACATTTTAGCTTCCTCTTTGAATAATTTCACAAAGAATAGGTTTGCAATTTAATATTTGATCCAGTCCATTTAAAGGTGCATTGTGTAACTTTTCTGGTGGAGGGTTCGTCAAATGCTTTCCTCCGTGGAGACGTAATTGCTTTGTCTGGCATGTTTCACAGTATGGCATTAAACCTTTCTATCTTCATGGAGACCAAACCAGACTAGGTTACAGGACAGATCTGTGGAGAAGTGACCCCCGCTTACAGTCAGAACGCCTGTTTTTCTTGGTATTTTGGAGCTATAAAACCTTGTTAACTTGTAATTGAATAAATGTAAGGTAGAGCTGTTTAATGTCATACTGTGGAACATTCCAGGCAAAACATTGACATATCCATTGAAACAAGCAGGTGACAGACTCCCAACCAAAATGTAATATAGTGCACCTTTAACATTACGTGTCAATTTATCAATATTTAGCTATTCATAAATATGTGCAATTTATTTTAAAGAATATTGCAAATGCAATTAATTATTAATCAAAATAGCCCACCAATCCAATGCTTTAAGTGTTTCCCACAAGTCTTATGTCTACTTAAACAGTACACTTTTTGCTTTTATCCTGTTTTAAGCTGTTGTATTCTGGTTTACACCTTCAAACATCCAGTTTAGTCAAAGTTAAAACCAGATTTAGGCCTACACGTCATTTGTGGCCAATTCAGTCTGAAAGATTAGAAACTGTTGCAGGAAGCACGCCTGGAACCGATCGAGTAAGATAAATTTATCCACATAAGACTTAAGTCTTAAGCAACATTTGTGGACCAGATTTATTTGAGGTCTAATCCCAGTTGTACTCATAGTACTTATTGTGAAACTACAGACCTAGTATACTAGACATTTTAAACCTGATGTACAAGTTTAAGTCAAAATGCAATGCTCCCCCTTGTGGACTTGAGGTGTAAATTATGTTCTTACCTTGGTGGAATCAAATGAGCCAAAGCCCATTAATTTCATCATCTCAATTTCCTCTTCTGTTTTACCCTCCATGTCCTCAGCTGTTAAGACATGAAAAAAGGGTTTTCAAAAACAGAACCAATCATTTCTTAAAACAAACACACACACAGAGGAGGTGTACCCGAGATCTGAATGGGCTTGGGTTGTTTTTCCTTCTCTTTGCGGTCATCATCGCGTCTGTCCTTTTGTCTCACAGGAGAGAGGGACGATGAGCGATGGCGTCGAGGAGGGGTTCTGCAGAGATGGACAAGATGGCTGCATCACAGTTTATCAAAATCTGGGACTTCAGTACAAATTGTAATGGAGGATGGCTGTCATGTGAGTGCTACTAATACTATTGTTTGTGTGGCTGTTTTTATGGGTTTACATTCATTTGGAACTTTGTGTAATCCCTCAACAAAACAAAGAAAACAATAGTAATATCCTGTATGCCTAAATTGGGAAAGCACCCATCAGAGGCCTGAATGATAATGCTAAAATTACTCAAACACAGGCCACACTTAATGCAGTTCAATAGACCTCTTTAACAAACAGAAACTGTAAACACGTAGGTGTGTTAGTTTCAGAGCAGTTTCAGTGTAGTTAGCTCCTCCCTTCAGGGAGATATACGGCAGTGTCTACAGCTCAGGCGAACTCAGGTGAAATTTTGTCTAGTTGACAGAATTGAATTTCTCCATTCAGTTGGAAGTTGGTTAAGGAATGTTATGTTGTAGATACAGAGCTAATTAAATTAAGAAAAAAATACTTAATGTGGTACTGGAATGTCCAAAGCATTTTTAAGTTTGATCAGCATTAGTCAATTCTATTTAAGGCTTAAAGAAGCCTGTCTGTACCTGGACCTCCTCCGGTGTGGGGACCGGGAGCGACTCCTTCTGCGGTCTCTGTCTCGGTCTCTGGAGCGTGTCCTCTCTCTGTCCCGCCGCCTTCTGTCTCTGTCCCGAGAGCCGGAGCGGGACCGCCTCCTCTCTAATGTTCATCCATTAAAAAAAATACATACTAATAATAAATTTTCAGTTAAAGTTACTAATAATATTACAAGGTGTCTGTTATGTGCATCATCACAGACTTTGGCCTGTTTAAATCCACGCTCAAAACTTATCTTTTCAGACTGGCTTTTAACATTCAATAATGTAATTACACTTTGTTTTATTAAATTTTTTAATGTTTTGCATGTTTTTATATTGTGTTAATATTGTGTTTATTGATTATCAATTTCCCCCGTGTATCAAAAAAATACTAGAACAAAATTACAGAGTACTAAAAATACACCCAGTTCCTACTTCTTGACTTCTCCTAGATCTGTGCGTACCCTGGGTATGGTGTATTTTCTGCGTCCAAACATTTAGGACATGATGAATGTCCGTGCGATGAGAAAATATCATAGATTGTATAAAAGAATATGGTCTACGGTAAAATTTCAGAACTTGCCGTTGTGGAATTTGCATTAGTGATCAAGTGAGTTGGGGAGGTTAAGCCGCACATGAACTAGGTTGAAGTCCTCTTAAACCCCCTCTTACTCTGGAAGTGTAATTTACATTTCCAGAGTAATCATTTATCTATTCTAATTCATCACGCCCTAACAAAGCTAGTTATACATCACATTATCTTGGCTTTGTTTAGCTGAAACCAAGTTTCGGTGTTCAAACAACAGGCTTTCAGTGCATTCGTGACGGTAAACAAACGATTATGGAACATTTTCTCACCTCGTCTCGGCGGGGTTCGGCTCCTACTCCTCCCCATGGTTCGTAAAAGTGTAATACGTACGTAAAGTAGCTCAAACTGTCCCAAAAGACAGAGTTTATTCAGAAAGCCGCTCGCAGAGTATTGTTTTTCGCCTGAGAGCTAGAAAATTCTTCTGCGGTGTCCATGGACGTACGTTTTCCGGTAAATTTACGTATACCTCCGGTATGTTCTTTCCAAAGCAGCGTCTCCTAGAGGCCAGGAGACGAAGGACCATCACAGCCCACTGAGCTATTCTCTCATGGTTTTTATCCCCCCCCACTGCTGCCCCCTCCCTTGGCCCTTGATATCATCTTATGCTTTATTATGCCACACAAAAATAATTTCATTTTAAAAGGATGATCAATTTGAATTCATGAGTTTTAAAAATCTATGTTTCCATTTAGTGAATTAATTTGACATGAAAACTAAATGCCATTGATCAATACTGGCTTTTAATAATAATAATAATAATAATTATAATAAAGATGCTGCCAATCTGCACCATTGGCCCCTCCGACCGCCAGCATCACTCACACACCGCACTTTCATACATATCCAGGAACATTTCTTGTACTTTAAAAAAAAATAATTTTTATACTTTGTGAACCTATTTTATTTATTTATTTTTATTTTTTTTCAAATTTTCCAATTTTTATCTTATTTTTATGTTACTTGTTCTGTATTTATAAAGTGAAATATCATGTGTGCCATATTGTGATTTCTGAATTCAGGCTATGCTAAGCTCCAGAGACACTTTTAACAACCATCTTTATCCAGTGCCACAATTCTGTCCATCAGAGAAGACTTTGAAGTTGAAATCAAACTTGAGCTTTAATGACTGGTACATGGAAACTTTCAACACTCCCTTTAACATTCCTAATAAAAATAAATAAACTCATAAGCAAACATCACACATCAGCATTTCATTAACAGATATTGGTAAACACAAAACAACTGTTAAGAGGTATTTTGCAGACATACATTGGAAGTAAAATTAGTGGAATGTTTAGTACAGTCTGTAGTTTCTTCTATTACTGCAACGGCATTGACAAGCGACAGATCTCTTCATCATATTTTTGGTAATACATTAGCACTGATAGCGTGAAGTGATTTAGTGAGAGCCAGTGTTATTTGTAGGCTATACAATCAGGCATAACATTACGACTACAAATTTACACAACTGCAGGATCCAGAACAGCCTTGCAATGTTGGAGACGCTTTGACTGATAGACTCTGTGTTAGTCATAATCTTAAACCTGATCAGTATATATTTACCTAACATTTCCCCTGCTGTAAAAACATCAATAGCTGTATTTTTCCACAAAATTGGCATTCAAATTCCAAAGAGCACAATCATTAGCTAGAAGTAACACATTCTGCCTCTGTGTCTGCAACATCTAGTGTCGACCCAGGCTATGACAAAGATGGAAATGCAATGTCGATATACATTATGTCAAAAGTTATTCATGTGAACGGGTGCATAATTCAATGTTATCCTGGAAATTTGGTTAAAATTTATGTAATGTGGTGTGATAAGAAGTGCACAGGATCATACTAGTAATCCTATATTAAAAATAAAATGACTAATAATGGCTATACAGTGACCAAAGCAAGACTGACAGTGAAGAGAAGTGATGTGTTGTGTTCAGCCTTGGTCAAATAGTACAATCTGAAACTGATTTATTTAGCGTCCAAGAGTGTTACAGTTAATTTTGCATGATTTGATTTGAATGCACCATTGGCTTAAACAGTAAATAAACTGTTTCACAGTAGTATTTAACCAAGGGGCTGCGTCATGACCACCTCAACTCTCGACCTTTTCCTTTTGCTTTTTGCTCTTTTTCAGGAAAGACGGTGGCTTGAACTTCTTTTTCTTCTTGGAGGGGGACTTGGACGGCGATCCCTCAGGGGTGTTGCCTTGCAGTTTGGCGGGAGGCGAGGTGGGGGTCGTGGAAGTGTCGTTGGTGGTCAGAGCCTTCATGCCTTTCTCCAGCTCCTCCGTTGTCTGCTTCTCCTCCTCGCCGCCATTTTGGAGCACCGCGTCATCAGTCTTGGGTTCTTCTGCACGGAATGAAACAAAAACAGAAATCAAAGTTAACATGTAGAGCAGTGATTCATAAATCTAAGATAGACTTTGAATAAATGTAATTATATGAGCAGGGGTGGGTGACATTGACAAAATATAGTATCTTGATATATTTTGCAATATCTTGATAATGAGTTCAAGTTCAAATTCTTTATTGTCCCATTGGCGGAAATTAGTTCTGCAGTACTCAATATATAAAAACAAACAGAACAACAAACATGCCTGTAAAGGTCTTTGTTGAGGTACACATATCCAACAAAACGTGAATGCCATACCACTATATACCATAAAATACTGTATAGGTACACATTTCTGTTATTTTTAATCTGTTTGCTGTTTGCTGTCTTTTTCTAATAGTTTTAACTATATGATATATTTGATATTGTAATTTTGTATATCTCCAAAACAACTAGTAGAACATGACACATTTACCACTATATGAGTATTATAAAATTAAATTAGAATTGTGGTAAATACTGGATGGTTTTAAAGCAATTTGGCAGGCAACTGGGAGAGGTAAACAGATCAGATCAGTCTAGTCTTGAATAAAAAATAATAAAATATACAAAAACCACATGCAACAAAAATATGAGCTAGTGTTTTTGTATAATGCTGTTATTTTGAATATCACAATTAATTGAATTTGAATTATCACAATATAAAGATTCTTAGAAAATGTTAAAGGAACTGTATGTAAGATTCAGATTGTAAATTTCATAAACCTGACCTATATGTGTCCCTATACAAGGTAAACATGTTCAAATCAATTAGCTTTTATGCACAACAACTGCAGTGCTTATTTATTCTTAATTACAAAAACATTGGGCATGATGGCCAAGTTGCTTTTGTTGCAGTTTGATGTTTAGGTTTTACAGACAGTTAACCAATCACAATGCAGAATGAACCTCACATAAGTTATTTGGGTTGCCAGTTTCACAATCCAGTTGGCTTAAACCTAAAATGCCTCTCTCTGAACGGTCAATGCTTAAACCCCAGCGCCTGCAGACAATCATGAACCAGTGCTAGTGCAGCCTCTGCAGCTTAGGGAGTGAATTCTGGAGGTTCTAAGGAATGACCTGCCCATATACTGAGAATGAGAATAACGTGTATGCGCCCACTCTCTGCAGGTTAAGGCAATGGCAACCCAAGCTCAGTTGTAATTGCAGTACTAGTCAAAGCTGGTCAGGCTACATAAAGTTCCTTTACAACAGACTGGGTTTTCCTGGATTGAGAGCATGCTGTAGAAACACATGCTGGCCAAAGGGGACACTCTGCCTGGCCTCACCTGACAGAGGGGACTGGCTGGGGGAGAGCACCTTTGTAGGGGAGGTGGCAGGGGAAGACTCCACATCCTCCCCTGTACTCACACAAGACAGAGACAGACAGACAGACAGTGACTGTACATGAAAGATTCACTGGGTTTGGGGTTAGTTTTGTGACAATTATCAACATATGAAACGCATACAAACATGTAAAGGATGATTTAGGACACAAATAAACAAAGCATGAACAGAGCACAGAGTCTACATACCCGACTGTTCCCTCAGCCCCCACACAAGCAGAGACTTCATCTTTACATTCAGGTGAATTTAAATTAATCAAGGGCCAAAACCATTTTCATGCAAGAGTGAAAAATTTTACAATCAAGCTGAGCAAACATAAAGGTATGTGTAAGCCTACAGAGCAATATAAACTATAAACTATGAATATATTTTACACAACAATAACCAGTAATCAATAGAGGTATTGTATAATTTGTGTCATTTTTCTGGTGGAGGTTCTGTCAAATGATTTTCACCATGGAGATGTTCTTGCTTTGTCTGGAATGTTTCACAGTATCGTTTGAAACATTTCTATCTCCATGAAGAAAGAAAGGTTTCATGGAGCCCAAACCAGACCAATTTACAGTTCAAATCTGTGGAGAGGCAACACCGCTTACAGCCAGAATGACTGTCTATATAAACTATATATGTGTGTGTGTGTGTGTGTGTGTGTGTGTGTATGTATATATATATATATATATATATATATATATATATATATATATATATATAGCTATAAATCCACCTGTAATTAAATACATGTAGTTATTTAATGTCATACTGTGGAACATTCCAGGCAAGGCAAAGACATATCCATAGAAACAAGCAGGTGACGGACCTCCAATAAAAAAGTTACATAGTGCACCATTAAGTATGAAAAACGAGACATCAGTTGTCTTATTGTTACCATTGGTGCCAGAGTGCTGCTTCCTCTGTACCTCCTGGCGATACTCCTCCAGCTCTTGGTCTGTGAGCTCATTAAAGGGGTTTGGAGGCTCAGGTTCAGGAGGGAGAGGAGGCGGACTCACTGGAGACTACAGCATAACACATAAAACACATTTTTTAGACTTAGACAAACTTTAATAACAAAGAGAAAAAAATCTAAATCGTAATAATACATTCTAAATCAGGAGCAAAAATAGCAAGACAGTGATGTCAAATAAGGCATAATGATACAAATGTGTATCTACAAGCAAAAATAAAGAAACAAGTAATAAAGTATCTCAAAATATGTCAAGTAATATACAAGAGGTCGTAAGGTCAGTGCAAAGATGATATGATGATTGACAGGACATGAATATTTAATATTTCTAACTAAAACAATTAATATTATCAAATCAGATCTAATGACATCTGCTGTGTCTTGTAAACAGTATTCAGATTTTCTGGACTGCGCTGACAACAGTAATGGAATTGATGTGTATTTAATATTTTGATTTCTACATATACTTGATTTGAATAATGTCAATGTATGCATATAGAACATTACAAAATTTGAAATGACTGTATAAAGCTGTATTTTTAAGTTATGACAGTAAGTTCTGTAGTTTGCCCTTTAGTAATAATGCGTGGGAAAAGCAGTTTCTCTATTGGTCTCATGGAGTGTATATGATGTTTACAACAACATTTACCGGAGGGCTGTCTTCATTTATGACGCTGGCGAGGACTTGGGACTGTGGACCTGCTGTCTTCATGTCCTGACGATTTTGTTGTCGAATCTGAGGAAAATCACACTGGTGGAATTAAGAGATACAAAGAACACAACATAACAAAATTAATTCACTACTTTCTTTATTTATTCAAGAGAACTGACCTTGTTTCGTGTCTCAATCACCTCCCGTGGGTTGGTAAAAAGAGGCACAAATTGGTTGGGATTTTCGATTTTGATGGGCGTGCTGCCAGCTTGGTTAATCTCATCAGTTTTCATCCACTACAAAGTAGAAAATGGGTAAGGCTTTAAATTAAGGCTACAAAATGTTATTATACCAATATAATAAAATAAGCCTAACAAAAGACAATATTGTTTAAGTGTAAAAGGATTAATTGAGAATGGATTAGTTTCCTAAAATGAGATTAAATTTAAGATATAGATCTTAGTATAACAAGCATTACTGCCAGTTGCTCATTGGTTTGTTTATGGCTCTTTTATTAGAGTACTGCCTACGGCCAGTAGAGGGCAGCATGCACACTGCAGTGTTGTCATCCACTGTGGGCTTCCCCTGCAATGCAGAGAGGAGAGTCTGGGCCCATCTCAAATTCAAAGGCCCCGCCCACACATGTGGCATGTTGTGTTCCTGACAGAGGCACCCACTGCAGGGGAAAAACACCTGCACATTTTCTAATATAAATACCATACCATAGATTAGCAGGGCATTTCAGAAATTAATCTTGTCTATTGGTAACAAATTAGCTTTATTTCACTTAAATCATGTTTTAAGTTTTAAGTTTGCATTGTACATTTCCTTGTCATAAAATAATAAAATGGTGCTGGATTGCTACAAAAAGTAATACATTGATCATTATTTTTTTTAATAATGAAAAAGACTTGGACTTGAGATGTCACAATTCAAGTAAATATTCACCCGATACAAACTGGGTTTTACAAATTTCTCCTGCTCTGTACAGTACATGCATGTCAGTAATACTTAACATGCATTTACAGACAGGAAGAGCACGTCCATGAACTGTGGAGTAGTGGGGGGAGTAGAAGTTGTGAGGGATGATGACAGGTCAGTGCAAGCGTCTAATAGCTCAAAGTTCTGTGCAGCAATATAGATGCTGATATTTTCACCAAGTGTCCACAGTTTAATACAAAATGATGAAAAGTGAAACAAAAGCATGTGATGAAGCACACAGAGCTTTGCACACAGCATGCTCCATCAGTGCCACTGGACAAACAGTCGACTGAGCAGCACTTAACACTTAACAAGTATCATCTCCGTGTGGGAAAAGTGGGCATGACAGCATACAAATGTCATATGACAGCTCTGTATCTTACATCTACCCATCTATGCTTGTAATGGACTTAACAAGTCGTCAGTTTCTCTTGATTAGTTAAATCCACCTGTCACTCACAGAGCATTAAATGGAAAACAGTGAGTGGCATGTGTGCACGGTTTGTTTGGCCACCCCTAGTTAATAACAGGGATTAGACCACTGTGTCTCACCACTGTGCGTTGGTGTCCGGGGCTGGCCTGCTCCTGGCTGACCTTCTGGTAGATGTTTGGAGTGTTGAGCCAGCGCGTCCTCTCCTGCTGTTGCTTGTTGACAAAAGGATGCTGCCTCAGAGTTGGGTGCCCCCCGTCTTCATCGAATGGGTAAAACGCCGTGACTGTGGCCGGCACCTCCACATCTCGCCTCATCCGGGACCTCTCCAACAACAGGGGGAAGCGGTATGTGTAGCCAGTACGGTAGCCCTGCAGACACACCATAACAAAGCAGGGTTTCTATAGCTGATCTTTGTAAGATTTTGAGATTTCAAAATACACAAAGATTAGTAAACAGATTTTGATGGGTATGCTGCCACCTTGATTAATCTAATCAATTTTCACATTTTCAAAATATATATTTCAATTTCAAAATATGCAGAGATCAGTATACAGATGTAGCTTTGTAGAAACTGTATAAGATGCCTTCCCATTCCAAGGTTGGGAGACATATACAAATTTAAATATAAAAAATATTTATATAAGAAAGAACTAATCATGATTTTTGCATTATATGTGGTACATTCATTTCCTGCCAATGCTTTCACCCCATCATCATCATCCTCACCACAGAAAGGCTTTAATGCTTTTATTCTGAAAGTCCACACAGGAAACATCAGCTGATCTCTCTCAGGCCTGTGTGAGTCAGCAAACCCATTAAACCCCAGCAGTGCAGCACTGATTCTAATGTGCCTCCTCCTCACAGTTGCCTTTAGAAAGCTGCAAATTTATTAATAATCTATCAGTGTTAGCCATTGCAGGTATCTCTGAATTTAAGATAATTTAAGATATATTTAAGGATAAGATTAAGATAATGACATTAACCACCAATCTATTATTATTATTATTATTATTTCATTATATTGGCATTGGATTCCCAAAATCAAAAAATATATGCACTGAAAATATGATACATGTCTGATTTTAATAAAGATTTGTGTAGAATTTTGTTCAACAGAAATTGATTTTTAATTACTAGCTACTATTTGTTCAGCAGGTCTGAAAGAATAATAAAAAATACTTTTACTTTTCAAAATGTAGTGCAGTAGAAAGTACAAATGCCTTCTCTCAGATGTTGTGAAGTAAAAGTAAAAAGTATCCACATTAAAATGTACTTAAGTAAAGTACAGATACCTAAATTTTTGCTTGTTTGGTACCTTCCACCACTGCCTTTAACTTCATAAGAACTCTTGATAGCGATTTTGGTAAACATTTGCACAAAAACGATTTTAGATTTTAAGCACTTTTTATATATCCCTCTTACCAGGTTGTCCAGGGTCCTCATCAACGCCTCAAACTCATGCTCCCCAGTGCGGCTCTTGCTCATGGGGCCAAAGGTGGAGCCGGCCCAGCCCACGGTCCCGGCCGGAGCAGGTCTATGAGCGCTCCTGTCCAACAGGATCAGGTTCTGCTCCCCCCCAGAGCAACACAATGCTGACACCTGGCATGAGACAAAGCACAGAAGAAGGCTATTTAGGTGTGCTGTTGGCAAGGCTCTAGGTTCATATGAAGATTTTTAGAAATATGTAGTGTAAGTTATCATCTATAAATACACTTTTTTTCTGATTGTGCTTTTTGAGACTGTGGTTTAATCCTGTCTTAATCCAGTAGAAGTGGTAATAGTTGTAGCAGTGATAGCTGGAGTTGTCAAAAGTATTGAAAATCAGATAGTAATCCAGTACAGAAAGTACACAAATGAAATCTGACCTTTCCTGTTTTAGAAGGATCTTGATGTTAATCAGAACTAGTATAAGACCACATGGTAACATAACAAAAGTATTGTTATTTACTTTTCAAAATTATCAATTGTCTAAAAAGTTCATTTTGTGGTATCATTGTGGTATTGAAAATTATATCACACATTAAGACGATTTTTAAGTATCAAAGTCAAGAATTGTGACAGCACTAGCACAAGTAGTAGCAGAAGTAGTAGTGGTTGTAAGTTCCAAGACAAACTAAAATGCAGATAAGGCAAAGCTGACTGTTTGTCTCTACATAATGCAGTTATGCGGTTAAACATGGAGGATACTTTGACTATGATAAATGTTGGATTGTGCACATCCTGTATCAGTTTTTCTTTCAGACTGATGACTCCACATTATAACAGTGCAGTTTGGTGTTGGCTCTGGTATTTCTCTGCAGTGCAGCTCTGTCCTCTGCAGCTCAGTCCAAACACACTATCTGCATTTACTGCATTTAACATGGACCACTCTCCTTCACACACTGTAGCATGCGCAACCACAGCACTTCACTTCAAGGGACACTACTTTGTTAGGATCCGCCCAAGCCAGCTCCAGCAGCAGGAGACAAACTTTTCCTGCTTAAATTTCTCAAACTTTGAAGTGATAAATTTGGCAGAGTAATTATTAATTTAGATACTACTATTATTAACTTAGGTACTTTATCTCTTTAGAGCCTTAATTTTAACCAGATTAAAGACGAATATGTCAATGGACCTACTGAAAGAGAATACATAAATAGCACTTTTCAGTTAAACTAAAACTATAGCATTGTCTACACACGTACGGCATTCTCTGTCTGATATACTAGTATATATAGTTTTTAATGCCTCTGATAATTTATCTAACTGCAAAGTGGTAAAAAAAAGAAAAGATATATATTAATTAAAGTCATTACAATAAAGTTGCTAAAGAACTACTGTATGTAAATATAACCAATGACTGAACTAAAAAGTATAATTAACCTCTTACAAACCTCTTTACCTGACATACTTTAACATACTGCAGATTGGAAGGTCTTGAATGTTCAGATGGGTTAATTTAATTACAATACCAAGATGGATCATAACAACAGATAAAACCCAAGCTGAAATCTTACCTGTATTTGACATGCTGCCTGTATGTGATAGATAGAGTAGAAGGCCTCCTCCACAGTCTCCCCTAGAGCCACGATGCCATGGTTTCTTAGCACAAGCACCTAAAATAAACCATTGCATCTATAAAGTTAAACAAGTCACATTTTAAATAGATGTGATGTTTTTCTACTCACTTTGCAGGTGGGTCCCAGGCTTTTCTGCAGCTCCACTCTGTCCTCCTCCTGCTCCATAACTCCATTGTAATCGTAATAAGCCACTTCCCCGACCAACAGAGCCTCGTGAGAAAGAGACAGCAGCCCTGATTTCATGTTGGACACCTGGACACACATAACCGCTGGTCACTGTAGTTTTGATTGTTAACAAAAAGCATTATGTAAAAAGAAAGAAGTAATTATTTCTTCTGTCACTGTAGCACGGCTTTTTGGGACTACAGTTGAAATGTAAACCGCGAGTACTTAACTCTATTTTTTATCCAATCCAAAAACATGGGGAAAAATCTCAAGATCATTTTCAGGATGTGTGCACAGTCTTGTGGCAATTTTGTCTTGTGAGATCTTGTGGCACGAAAACTTGCCCCATCCTTAGTAATTATAGTTCACAATGGGGCATTTGTCAATCCTATTTACTTTTTTGTATTAGAAATCAGTGACCTGAGCAATACAATTGGACTATGAGGCTATAGTTCAGTATTATGTTGTAGCATCTGAATGTTAAATGATCCATTCATTACAATAATAATAATAATACTAATGCCTTCCACTTACAGGCTTGCTGAAGCCTCTCAAATCGTAACACTCTAGTCATCATTCATGCACTCAATACTGGGTGGTGGTAATGTGGGTGAAATGTCTTGCCTAAGGACACAGTGACAGAACTTGTTGGAAGGGTAATTTTGTTCTAGCATAAATAAAGCTGTTTACTTATGACAACAAAATTATTTTGGCTTGCACTAGCCACAAGACATGGAGGTAGAATTGTAATATTTTAGTGGGATCATTACATTGGGCAATACTGTATAATTAAGCTATCAGTCAACACTATTGTTACTGACTTTTTCTTCTGTAAATGTGTCATCTTAACTCACTGCTGCTGTAGCTGGGGTCTGAATGTGGAGCAGGCAGCGCACATCAGGTCGAGCTGAGTAAATGGCTGAATGAAGACTGAACTTCTCCAAATCCACACCCAGGTTTGTACTGCCTCTCTCCACCACCTCGCCCAGAAGGTTCACTTTCACCTGAGAGCAACATCAGGTCTGTTAACAGTATTCAAGCACAAAGGAAAGCTTGAGTTTATCTGTTTTTTGCTGAATATGGCATTAATTCCAGGTCAAAACATCGAAACACTGAAGAAACTAAAAACAACCAAAACAAAATATACATGTACTGACCAGACTGGAGCCAGTGACTTCACTATAGGCGAGACCATCAGGAAGCACCAGGAAATGTTCCTGCTCCTTACTTACACGCAGCTGTGAGGGCAAAGACAGACAGGTGACAATCTATATCACTTCACTGCAGTTAATAATAGTATTATATTGTTGTTAAACCAGTGCCACCCAAGTTCTCCTTTCTTTTTAAAGCAGTGATTCTCGGCAGGTCAATTAGTGGGGGAATTTGACATGATTAAGTCATGTGTCCCTCTGCTTGTTACTTCACTCAAATCTGTGCAGGTTGGGTTGGAGGATATGCATCTTTAAGACTGCGTCAGGGCCACACCTAATATACAGTCACCTTGTCTTGTATTTTCTATTGGCACTACACATCTCACACAGACACCACTTCTATATTACAACCCACTATTACTTCCTTCTTAATTCAGTTCTGAATAAGTCATTACTTTGGATATACCGAAGTGTCTAAATCCGTGTATCGTTCCTTCATTCGTTTTTCAATATAACACTAAAAATAAGAAAATTTTAAAAAACTGCTGTTTTTTTTCATTATTTGTTTCCAAAACCAAAATGAAAAAATGGATAACGATTAATTTTTTTATAAAATTATGGCCGTTTCCCGTTTCCGTGACTTAAACTGCGATGCCGGACTTTTGCGCCACATACAGACTGAACCAGGACTGAAACAGGACTAAACCAGGACTAAACTGTTTTCAGTCCTGATCTGGTCCCAGTCTCAGTCCTGGTCTGGTCCCGGTCTCAGCCCCGGTCTCAGTCTCGGTCTGGTCCCAATCTGGTCCCAGTCTGGTCCCGGTTTCAGTCCCAGTCTTAGTCCTGGTCCTGTTCCTGGTCTCAATCCTGGTCTCAGTGCTGGTCTGGTCCCAGTCTCAGGCCCGGACTCAGTCCTGGTCTGGTGCCGGTCTAAGTCCTGGTCTCAGTCTCAGTCTGGTTCTGGTCTGGTCGGACCTGGTTTAGTCCTGGTTCAGTCCGTGCAGCGCAAAAGTCCAGGATCTCAGTTTAAGTCACGAAAACGGGAAACGGCCACTATCCGTTTTTTCCATTATTCATTTAAACACAAAATCAAAAACTGAAAAAAAAATTTTTTTTTTTAATCGATATCTGTTTTTTCATTTTGGTTTTGGAGACAAATGATGAAGAAAACAGTTCTTTTTTAATTTTCTTATTTTTGGTTTTATATTGAAAAATGAATGAACGAATGATACATGGATTTGTCTAGCTGCCATACAGTCTAAGCCAACTATGTGAGTATGTGTCATCACTATCTCCCAGGCTCCTTCTTCAAAAAATGCTTAAACTGGATTGCCACGTGAAGAGCCTGTCCAAGTTTCACAGTAGTAAGTAGTATCAAAATTGTACATTACATTTCTGAAATAATATTGTTATGGTGTTACTAATAAGCCTTTGAAATATATTATAGACCAGTCCCATCCCTGCTTGCCTTCCAAGATGAGATAAGATCAGACATTTTCAGTGTGGCATTAAACCTGTTTTACTGAATAAAGATGTTTTTTTTAATTATACTTTGCAACCCAGTGCCTAAAGTCAAAGGTTGTAATCTTGTTTGCTTTATTTAAAGGAGGGAGGGTGTTACTCACCGTGAGGCAGGTGTGGCGGAGCTGAGCCCAGCCATAGAGGTCAAACAGTCGATGCACAGAGGCCAGTTTACATCTCATCAGTCGCTCTCCCTTCACCAGGCGTCCGGGCTCCCAGCTCTGCAGGTCATTTATGGGAGTCACCATCATCATGTCTGTGCAAAGACAGGAGCCACACATTAAGAGCTTCTCCAACAGAGCCCTCACATGCCTTTTGAGTTCATTACGTAAGAAATGTAAAAGTCTTCAAAAATTATTTAATAGCAAGTTATATCATCATGCTTTGTTTTAGTTAGATTCAGCCAATAATTTAACTAAGATGAGAAGCAGATTTGTATTTGTATATGTTTTAAAAATATAAATGAAAACAAAAACTGTGATTTTGGGCTTTGCTTTAAATGAATTTGGGCACAGGTTATTTAGCACACTGTCCGCATTGACTTCTGGGAAAATCAATAGAGCAGCCAGTCCAGATTAAAGTGACTAAGTCCTATCAGGGAATAGACAGTTTAAAACTTTGCTTCCAATGTCAACAAAATACAAAGGCTTTAAATGTGATTATGTTCCTCTTCTTGATAAACATGTAACATAGTTTATGCAAAATAAAAAATGGTGAAAAAGTTCTAGGAAGCAATGTGTTTAAATTAAATGTGTGAATCTGTGAGTTTACTACCTTTTTACATAGTCCTATAGACACCTAAAAAATACCAAATCTTCAGCTAACTCACTCACTAACTTCTCCTTGTCCCTCATAAATCATTTTAATCTTACAAATTTTGCTCGACTAAGACACCATCAAAAGATTAATCAACTAAAGACATAGTTCAGTGTTCAGTGTATAATGTGTATATAAGCGAGATTCATACTGTTTGGAGCTACAGGCAGACTGGAGGGAGAGCCATGTGAGGACATGAAGTCTGCCAGTTGCCTCAGAGCCCAAAGGTTTGATGAGCTGCCTCCCTTTTTCATCTGCTCCTGGATCAGTCCATCCAACTCCTCTCTGAATGACTGCAAAAGGGAAAAAATGAATTAATAGATACAAATCATAATAGTTTTAGCAATGGTTAGTAACTGCAGTTGATTGTGAGAACTTCAAAAATATGAAGATATATTAAAATGAGTGAGCTAATTAGAACATATTTAAAAATTAGAACACAAATCTAACCACAAAAATAGGATATTTTAATTACATTTTCAGCCCCAGTATATTTTGCTACGCGAAACATAATCTATCAAACTTTCATTTAATAAATATAGGGGTCCTGTTTTCAATACCTCATACACTGGGCAGCCACTGCTCTGCCAAGTCTGCAACATTGAACGTAGTGTGCCCTATAATTGACGATATCCACATGCTTCACAGTGGCATTAATCTATACAGTGCAGAGCAGAGGGCAATAAATGCTTGACTCACTGGACTCTGGAGCAGGGTGGAGATGCGTTTCTTCAGCTGGGGGCCGGTGTCAGACTGGGGCGACTGTAGGCCCTCGGGGAGCCCATCGCTGGGACTCCTCTGCACCGGAGTGCCCTTTGGTGTGGGAGATTTACTCATCTTCTACTGGTCTGTGTCTGTTACTGAGGATGTGAGGAGAGCTACAGAAGGAAGACAAAGTACAGATTAGACAATATAGAGAATAGGCAGGGAGTACAACACAAACACAAAAACTAGACTAAAATAAATGCATGTTTTTTGATTTTGTCAATTTAGAAAGGCTTAGAAGAAAATTTGCACTTGCCATATTCTGTATGCATTGTGTCAGGTGCAAGCTTTTTTTTTTACACTGAAAAACACGTGTTCTTACATGACAAGAGTCAGGCCAAACAACCTGACTCTTGTTTGGTCTGGAGTAGGGCCTGCTCCTGATTTTTCTATGCAAATATTGTTCTATGGCTTGAATATTCCACATAAAACAAATCTATTGCCACGAAGAATATTCCGAAGTATGCTTTTTAACTTCATTTTCCATGAAATCATGCAGGTGACATGCTGCCTTTGGAAAGTTGCATGGTGTTGCTTTAAACATCTTTTGGCCACTATAGTCTTGGTTGTACTTAGAGCATAACCAAAACCCAGCATGCCTTTTACACTGAATGAATAAAACCTAATAAAATAAAAATCAGGACTTGAACATTCCGAGTTTCATCAGGAGAATTAGACCATTGTCTGAGAAACACTGGTCTGTAGGACATCAAGTTGAATAAAATGAAAAAGAGAGATGGACATAAACAGCCTTGCTTTGGGCATGAGATGAATACGAAATTTGATCTTTTGACAATCTGGCATACAAGCAGACAACCAAACCATCCTTTAGTCCAGCTGTATCACGTTACAATGCATTTCTTATCCTCCCAAAACAAAAAAAAGCATCCTAGTTTGGCACATAAACTCACACTAATATCACCATCACCAATCAAATCATTTTATACTAAAATAACTGTAGTCCTACCTCCCTTCTCATTGGTGATGCTGTATCCTCCTGGCCCAGTGTAAACCCAAATAAAAGCATTAGTTTTAAGTGGCTACATGCAGAGAAGTCAGACAGGAAGTTAGCCAGTGATCCGCGATGGTAATAGGAGAAAGAAGACTGGGTTACCGTAAGCACGTAAGCCACTCCCAGAGAGAGTCAAAACGACCACACGCACATGAAAGTAACTGGAGGGAGAAGATAAGGGCCATGAATGCACCACGCCCTTCACTATACAGTATATGAAGAACTAATGAAGCACTAGCTGGTGGAATCAATGTTAGAGTTTAGAAAAATTCACAATGCAAATGGAAAATAGTTTTGCGGTAAATTAATAGGTGAACTGCAAAAACAATATCTAGGTAAGTTAAAATGATGTAAATTAAGAAGATTTGTAAGTCAAATTACCTACCAGTGATATGTTTTTTTTCTTCATTCAAGCAACATTTGATTTTTGTTTCTTATTTTAAGTGCAAAGAGCTGTTGCTTTTCTTATCATAAGTATAGCAACATGCATTAAGATGTATTACTACAAAAAGTCTGGTTCCATTGATAGATAATTTTACTTGTCAAATAAATTTACTCAAATTGTGATAAAACTTCTTAATTCAAGTAATCTTAACTTGGCTACATTATTTTTTTTTTTTACAGCCTTTGCAGTGTGGATTTACTTTAGTTAGTTATACTGAATTAAACATTATTTCATCATTTGCCAAAGAAATACAGAAATTCTGATTATCTTGACTTGAATTCTGGTATTTGTTTTGACAGGTTTAGATTTATCAATCAATCAAACTTTATTTATAGAGCGCTTTTCATACAAAAAAATGCAACACAAAGCGCTTTAACTCATTACCAGCCAGACCTAGATTTTTTACCTCCGCCAAGGAGGTTATGTTTTTGCCGGCGTTTGTCTGTTTGTTTGTTTGTCTGTTAGCAACATAACTCAAAAAGTTATGGACCGATTTTGATTAAATTTTCAGGATTTGTTGGAAATGTGAAAAGGAAGAACTGATTTCATTTTGGGGGTGATCCGGAAGAAATCCTGGATTCTGGATCACTTTGAAATTTTAATTAACATTGTGGTAAATGGGGCCAAAAATTTTGTTTCTCAATATCTCGGTTAATTATTGACCAAACCCCATGAAATTTGACTCAGGGATGGACAATGGGATCCTCTTTCATATTCCAAAGGCTGATCCGGATCTGATCCAGAAGACTGATTTTATCGCAATTTATATAAAAAATGTTGTAGTCCTTGGCGGAGGTCTGAGCTCTCTGAGTGCTTTTCTATATATATATTTTTTTTCATCTCTGGCTGTTTCTTATTTCAAGATAAACAGATTGGCCAGTAGAGTACAATAAATGTTCCCTTGTTAGTGTTTATCAAAAATTAATCCAGCCATTTAACCAAAATATTAACAAACACACCAGTGTAAAAAATGTAAAAATGAATAAAACCTACAGTGAGGGTGTGTCTATTGTTGGAGCAGAGTAAGAACCATACCCCCTCAGCCATTAAGAGCATCCCCAAGAGAGAGGACCTTTCTCTAGGCACACTGTCAGCAGCTGTGGCCCTGTTATCCAGAGAGATCCACATTAACTAAAAACCAGACACTATGTCACGATAACACATTTTGAAGCACGATATATTGTTGAAGTAAATATAAATGATAAACAATAATCTTGCAACTAATTTAAACCACAAAAACAATGTTAAATGTACAATATGTTAAAAACCCATTAGCTGCGATAAATAAACAGCAAAATGAAATATATTTTGCATCCGTAATGAGTCATAAAAGTTATTTGTTCAACCTTTTACTGTTTAAATCTCATCATATAGCCAAAACTAAAAAGCAAATATTTCCCAGTAGTGCAAGGAAAAGGTACGCATGGTAAATATTGACCCCAAAAATATATTTGTCCAGTTTATTATATAGTAATTATTATGACAGACCTACAAGACACAAGAGCACTGCTGGTGGTGAGGTCTAACATGTCATCTCAATACATTAGAATAAAGTGTGTTTTAGACTTCACACATTGTGGAAACACTGCTAAACTGTATAAAGGAGCTGTAGAAGTGACAGGTGTTAGTATTAGTAGTTGTCCCTGCTTGACATTTTGCTGCATAGACATTATTTAACGTTTCTGGGCTAAGCTGAAGTAAACACAGAGTGCATGTGTAGTTAGCATTGACCACAGTCACTTCAGAGTGGGGGGGGGGTCTGTTTCTGTGTATCAGGAGCTGAGAGCCACAGGAAAGACCTAAAGTGCATTGATTTTCTCTGGCTCTGCTTCCATCATTAATGACTGGAGTGTTCAAACTATAATTCATTTGAGCCAGAAGAGATACTGGGATCATACTTGTGATATGGTGACTAAATGATTCTAAAAACTTGTTATTTCCCCACAGCAAAATTTTTATTTTAATAGGCCTACATTACTGTTCTGACTTCTGAGCAATGCTGTCCATGTGAGGGAAGATAACACATAGAACTTTAATAATTGTTATGGGTATGTATGTATGTATGTGTGTGTGTGTGTGTGTGTGTGTGTGTGTGTGTGTGTGTGTGTGTGTGTGTGTGTGTGTGTGTGTATGTATGTGTGTGTGTGTATGTATGTATGTGTGTGTGTATGTGTGTGTGTATGTATGCATGTATGTGTGTATGTATGTATGTATATGTGTGTATGTGTGTGTGTATGTATGTATGTGTGTGTGTGTGTTTGTATGTACGTATGTATGTATGTGTGTGTGCATGTATGTATGTGTATGTGTGTGTATGTATGTATGTATGTATGTGTGTGTGTGTTTATGTATGTATGTATGTATGTATGTGTGTGTGTATGTATGTGTGTATGTATGTATGTATGTATGTATGTGTGTATGTATGTGTATGTATGTATGTGTGTATGTATGTATGTATGTATGTATGTATGTATGTATGTATGTATGTATGTATGTATGTATGTATGTGTGTATGCATGTATGCCTGTATGTATGTCTGTATATATGCATGTATGTATATCTCTCTATATATATTTATTTATTTTTCTTTGAAAACTATGTACCAAGCAGTCCAGATAACCAAAAATAATAATGGCCTACAATAGCACCATGTTCTAAATGAATTATAAGTCCGGTATAAGTTAGACTCAACAATAACTCTAGGCTACCAATCATTGTTTGTTGTGCCTCCGCTAGATTTAGTCATGCTACTGCACTCTGCCTGCCTCCAACCCAAACACCCACTCAATCCTGCTTGTTTTTTTATTCCCACGTGATACGTAATAGGCCTACAGTTCCGATGCACTAACCCTAGCCTATATACTCCATGGGTCATATAGGCGTTTTTTGTCATTATGGCATCCTCCAAGTCGTTTGGCTCGAGGGCCTCGCGCTCTGCCTGGCTGCCTAGCAACACTTTAACGCGCATCAGCATCAGCACCAGCTGCGCGAGGCACATCCACTAATGTCCACCCGCAAACCTGCACAGGCCATCTGCACCATCCCCACCAGCAGTAGCAGCAGCAGCAGCAGCGAGGAGACACAGCGCAACGCAGCATCTTTCCTTTACATAAAAACCACCAGCCACGACGCATTAGAAGTGCATAAGTGATGCCTAAAGGAAGATGTGCACAGTTGAGATGCTAACAATGAGCCACCAGCGGTCACAAAAGGCAGGATTAAAATGGGAAGCTATAAATGGCTGCAATCTGTCAAATGTAAGCTCATGTTGGTCGGGCCCTCTAAGCAAAGCGAAAAAAAAACCCTGCAACGTAAATCAAACGCACAAGCAGTATCACTTTGGTGGTAAACAGTTACTTGCTGCTAAATGCACTGGGAGTGTTAAGGGGGAAGCGACGTGCACATGCTAGGAGACGCGTCTGTTTTGTGTAGCATGGCCGTGGTGTTGGTGGTTTTCATGGTCAACGACAGACAGCGGTATGCAAGAGGGCTGTAGCCTACTCACCTCAGCGCATCCCCGGGAGCGTGCCTTGTATCAGGGCACACCACACCCACAGCAGCCCCCCGCTCCGTCCTCTGCGAGCGCGAATGTCACCTGAAAAACACTCAAATAGGGCCAGCAGTTGGTTTGTTGTTCAATTTCGGGTACCCTACCAAAAACACGTCAAGTGATGTTTTGGTGCGTGTGCGCGTTTGGGTCGGCCCCCAAGAGCCACGACCACGCCTGTCCAGAGAGGGAGAGGCACCCACGGGTGGCAGATCATGGGGAGTAACTGCTGTTGTTAGCTCATAAGGAAATCATGAGTTGTCGGGTTTTTCTTTTTTTTTTTCTTTTTTTTTTTAATAAGGATAGATTCGAAGGTCTTGGTTTAAATAAACAATACTTTGCTGTGTGTTAGGCGCCATCTTATGTTGCAATAAAAGGGTCTGGAAAATCCTGACAAGCAGACTTCATGTGCAAACACTGTAAACCTTAATCTTCAAGGCAATAAGAGCATATTTTGTCAGATTATAGTAGACTATACATATCATCAGTTACGACATAAATTTTTTTGACTAGAGGCTGAGCTACAAATACAGGAAACAGAATTGATTTTATTCTGCTTATTTCTACCAATTAATCAAAAATCAAACAGATAGGCATACATTTATTATAATTATGATAATAATCACGATCGTAATCATAATAGCCCATTGGGGTAATCATGTTTTATAATTTCTGATGAAGTTTAGCCTTAAATTTTGTCCTATAAATAGGCTAGATACACAGAAAATTTAAATATCGTCAACGTATAGTTTTAAGTGTATACATAACAGATCAGCGCCTATATGAAACATACAGGGCATTGTAAAACTGTTAATGACCAGTAGATGGCACTTCAATACAACTTATGTAAAGAGTGTAAGACTTTATTTTGAATTATCAGTGCTCAACATATACAAACATTATAGTGTACAAAATGTTTTCAAGTGTTTCAGTGCTCTAGGCTACATTATAATATATAATATAATAATATATAATTATAATGTTGTTTCCTCATCAGAAACATACCTGATGTTCTGTTTTGTTTCATTTACAAATCATTAACACAAAAACCTGGACATTTAGGTTAAGTTCTTCTCTCAAACAGAAAATGCTCTTGTCGTGACATGTGGTAATACAGGAAGTGCTCCACGTGGTTTTAAAATCCATACACCTTCACTAGAATCATCTGGATAATTTCAACTCTGCAGTTGTCCATCTCTACTAAACAAAAAGGTAAAGGGTAGCTGTTAACTTGAAACTACCGTTTCATGACATCACAAGTGTTTTGAAGATAAACTAAAGTTGACCGTTGATATTAGTAAGTAATATTATGGACTTTAGTGGAAATCAAGTGGTATCAAAAGTGACTAATGGTTTTAGGTGCAGGGTTTTTAAGACAGATCTCTGCAATGAAAACAATCCCAATGATATGTACAACTTCACCAGGCAGCAAAACAATAACATGACCACATTCAAATGTTGTCTAGCTATAACTTGGATTGGTTTTCTAATTTCTCATCTGTTTGAATAATTTCTACCCACTACAACTTCTCAAAGTTGCTCCTGCTCGCTAGAATGTTTTTTATTGAGTATATCTGAATGTTGCCATTTTTACCACTGACTCCTGAATCATGGATCATTTGCATAAACGCTGCTGTGTATGATGGAGATAATTGACACAGGTGCAGCAACTGCTACAGAGGGAAAGTCTCACCACTTGTTTGTCTGATGCACTTTGTTCACCTGCTATAGTTCATCATTATCACTTCTTTGTAGAAAGACATACAGAGGAATAGGCAGAAAATGTCAGAATGAGCACATCAGATTGGTTAGTAGTGTTGTGGACTACTAGTGTGTGGGGGGTCGCACTACAATCTGGGCACCACGCACCCAGATTGGCGTCACCGGGGCCCCATCCAAGAGCCAAATCTAGATGGGTGCATCTGGTGGCTGGTTCTCCCCCACAGGGTCGGGCACAGCCCGAATGAGTAAGATGGGGTTGTCCTCCCATGGACCCATAGGAGGATCCATAAGGAATCAGTGCAGAGAGATCTGGGTGGCAGTCGAAGGCAGGGGCCTCGACGGCTGGATCTCCAGACATGGAAACTGGCTTTAGGAACATGGAATGTCACCTCGCTTGGGCCTGAGCCTGAGCTCATCAGCCTCACCTCCACGCACAACTTGGGCTCTGAAGCCCAAATCCTTGAGAGGGGTTGGACTCTCCATTTCTCTGGCATTACCTGGGGGAATGGCGGCAGGCTGGTGTTGCCCCACAGCTCAGCTGCCGTGTGTTGAAGTTAATCCTGGTGAACGAGAGGGTCGCGTCCATGCGTCCTCAAAATGAGGACAGTAGTGCAGAGTACCTGACCATTCTTGGAGTCCCTGGAAGTGTTACTAGACAGTGCACCAACCGGGGACTTCATTGTTCTACTGGGGGATGTCAACTTCAGTGACACTTGGAGAGGAGTGGTCAGGAGGAATGGCCTCCCTGATCTGAACCTGCGCAGTGTTCTGTTATTGGACTTCTGTGCTAGTCACAGCTTGTCCATAATGAATACCATGATCAAGCACAAGGGTGTCCATCAGTGCACGTGGCACCAGGACACCCTAGGCTGAAGGTTGATGATCAACTTTGTCGTCATGTCATCTGACCTTCTGCTGCATGTCCTAGACACGCGAGTAAAGAGAGGGGCAGAGCAGTCAACTGATCCCCACCTGGTGGTGAGTTATGTCTACTGGTGGAGGAGGAAGCTGGAAAGACCTGGCAGACCCAAGCATATCATGAGGGCCTGTTGGGAACATCTGGCAGAGCCCTCTGTCAGGGGGACCTTCAACTCACACCTCCGGGAAAGCTTCTCTCAGATTTCAGGGGAGGATGGGGACACAGAGTCCGAGTGGGCTATGTTCTTGTCCTCTATTGTCAATGTGGCTTGCAGCTGTGGTTGTGAGGTCTATGATCGTGGCGGTCCCCGAATCCACAGGTGGACGCTGGAAGTAAGAGATGCCGTAAGGCTGACGAAGAGTCCTATCAAGCCTTGTTGGCTCATGGGACTCCTGAGGCAGTTGACGAATATTCATTGTAATTATGGACAGAATTTCAAGGCACAATCAGGAGCCAGAGTGGGTCTAGTTTGGGGACCACAAGATCTCATCTCTGCTATTTGCAGATGATGTTGTCCTAAGCGCTCCATCGAACCAGGACCTACAGCAGGCACTGGGGAGGTTTGCAGTGGAGTGTGAAGTGGCTAGGATGAAGATCAGCTCCTACAAATCCGAGCCCATGGTTCTTGACTGGAAAAAGGTGGCTTGCCCTCTACAGGTGGGTAAAGAGTTCCTTCCTCAAGTGGAGGAGTTCAAGTATCTCAGGGTCTTGTTTACGAGTGAGGGGAAGATGGAGCATGAGATTGACAGACAGATGGGTGCCGTGTTGGCAGTGATGCAGTCTCTGTATCGGGCCGTTATGATGAAGAGAGAGCTGAGTCGAAAGGCAAAGCTTTCAATTTACCAGTCGATCTATGTTCCTACCCTCACCTATGATCAAGAGCTTTGGGTAATGACCGACAAGATCGTGGATACAAGCAGCCAAAATAAGTTTTTTCTGCAGAGTGGTTGGGCGCTCCCTTAGAGATAGATTGAGATCTCAGCCACATGGGAGGAGCTCAGAGTAGAGCCACTGCTCCTCTATGTTGAGAGGTGCCAGCTCAGGTGGCTAGGGCATCTATTCCGGATCCTCGACCCACTGCAGTGTGCTTATCAGGAGAAAGTTGGAGCAGACAATGCCGTGCTCTACCTGCTACATAGGTCCCTCTCTTGTCTTGACAAAGGCAGTTGTACTGTGAGCATGACCTTTTTGGCTTTTCCTGTGCATTTAACACCATACAACTTCTGCGGCTCAAAAACATACTAATCAAGATGTGAGTGGTCTCTGGAAAAATTAATTACAGATTACTTCACTGGGAGACCTCGGTATGTCCGACTGGGGGACAGCACCTCTGAAGCTGTTGTCTGTCACACTGGAGCTTCACAGAGGACTGTACTGTCACCAGTTCTGTTTACCCTGTACACGTCAGACTTTAGATACAACTCAGAGTTGTGTCACATGCAGAAGTCCTCTGATGACACAGCCACTGTGGGGTGTATCAGGAACAGTGACAAAGGGGAGTACAGGCAGCCCATTGAGGGCTTTGTGGTGTGGTGCCACACTAACCACATTTAACTGAGCACTGCAAAGGTCAGAGAGGGTGTGGGACTTTAGGAGGAGCAGGCCACAGCTGCAACCTGTGACCACTGAGGGGGACACTGTGGAGGTTATAGAGAGTTATAAATATTTGAGCCTTCAGCTCAACCACAGACTGGACTGGTCGGAGAATACAGACATGCTCTACAGAAAGGGACAGAACAGGCTGTACTTTCTTAGAAGGCTGTCGTCCTGTAACATCCACCTGAAGCTCCTGTTAATATTCTTCCAGACAATTATCTCCAGTGTCCTCTTCAGTGCTGTTGTCTGCTGTGGAGGAAGCCTCAAGAGGAATGACACTTGTGAGGAAGGCAAGATCTGTAGTGGCAGCAGAGCTTGAGTCACTCAAATCTGTGGCTGAGAAGAGGGCCCTAAACAAGCTCGTGTCCATTCTGGATAACTCCCCGCAGCCCCTGCACAGCACCATCTCTGGACAGAAGAGAACCTTTGGGGACAGGCTGTTGTCCCTGTCCTGCTCCATGTACACACTCTGGAAGTCATTTGTACCACACCCCATATGGCTATTCAACACTTCACTTTAATTTGATAAATTGATATGAATTGATGTTATGTGTTATATTATGTATTTTGTTAAGTACTGCAGCACTGCCAGAAATATTAATTTCCTCTTGGATAATAAAGTATCTATCTTATCTATCTAATCTAATCTGGTATATCTCTGGTTATGGTGTATAGATCTCTTTGTGGAGCATACTGTCTGTTTGTGAGAATGGGTTTTAAGAAGGTGACTGAATCGTGTTTCCCACAGAGACCACGTGGGCTGCCTTTGTAAACATGTGAGGAAGCTATTAGGTCTCTGTCAAATCAATCCAAATGTAAAGATTACACAGGGGACAACAATTCCCTTGTGGCCCTATTAATGTTTGGTGAGAGGACAAGTGTTTTGCACTCAT